TTATCAACCAAACATTGGCAAGGGTAAAGGAAATATCCCAACCACCCGTGCTTTTTTCAAAAAAAATATTAGCTTTGACCCTAATTATAAAATCTTATTTATTATAAATAAAATTTTATAATTAGGACTGAAAGTAGTACTCTTCCGGTCTTTAATATAGGACCCAATTCTTATGTTGGTTTTGGTCCTAAATATAAGACCCATTTCTCATATTTATCAATTTTCTCTAAATTACCCTATGGATACTCTCTATAATCTAAGAAATGATTATGGTATTTAGGAAAAATGTGTCATTTTTCTTATAATTAACTAACTTACCTAATTAATATAATCAAATTAGTTAAATGGGTCTTATATTAAGGACCGGAGGAGTATTAATTTGCTTGGATTATTCCTCCTCCCCACCAAGATTACGCATGTGGGATGAAGACTCATAAGTAGCAGCTATATATAGAAATTTTAAAATAACATTTTTAAATGGCTTAATTTAGATAAAACTTACGAGGATCATTTTGAAATTAGTTTCTTTTCCTTTTTGTGAAAATATTTAATTGTCCTAATAAAATTAGTTGTTATTATAACTAATTAGCTATTAGTTGAAATAGTAAGTAGTATCAGTAAAAATCCAAAAATCAATTTTTTTTAGAATTTTTGAGCTCAGGACTATCCAATGTGGTTTAAAATGGTTTCAAATGAACTCTAAGTCGCCTAGTAGTAAGATATAATATTTTTCGTATCAAATGGATGAAAAAAAATACAAATTTAAATCCGAAAAGTGTACTTATTAGGTTGTGTTTAATCCTAATATTTCAACGAGATTAACTCCGATAGAAAATACATGTGGTGGAGCGAGGTTCTTTGACTGAGCTGCAAGGAATCTACTCTGGTAAACCAAAACTTCTGAAGATACTTTACAGATAACGTTGTAGTACGATTTCCTTTAATTTGTACGCACTCGAGTTAAAAAGGAAAAGCCTAAACCTCTGCCCAAATTAAATAAATAAACAAGTGACCTGGACAAATCTTTTTTTTTTTTGTTTTTTTTTAAAAACATGATCTGCACATCTCTTTACCTCACAAACAATCAATACTGATGTTTCAATCATGTGAAGCGGTAGTAAAGTGAAACTTTCGGTTTAACTCCCCCCCCCCCCAATTTTAGTGGTGTTTCATGGGCTAAATCGGGGCCCAATAAAATACTCAAGCTGGGCCGTCTCAAGTAATGGGCCAAGTTTGGCCAGTAATCAAATAACAAATAAATTATATTTAAAAAATAATGTTAGTATGAAAATAATTTTTTATGAAAGTCATAAATTTAATTATTACATAAGATATATCAAGGAAAGTAATTCTATTGAATTAATCAATGTTAGGTCTATTTATTTTTATTTTTTTGCGAAAAAAAGTAAAACACAAACAGATTACTATACATAAAGAGATAATAAAAAGTTGGATTAGTATATAGTTTGATTGAATTTCGTTTTTATCCATGTAGTTTCAAATAGTTGGTTTTGGCCAAAATCTCTTGAACTTAATGGCATACCATGCCTCCCACTTTGTGGAGGTCCAACGTTCAATTCTGGGTGAGTGATGACTTGACATGTCTGTTGGGGAGCCCTTCCTTGGGGGAAGGTAATGTGTGTGTGCCATTAAAAAAGTTAGTTTTTACTCTTATAGTTTCATGATTTTTTTTTGTCTAGGTTTAATAAGTGATCTTTTACTTTTAACGATTTTTGATTTTATTCCCCGTACTTAAACTCAGACCAATTCGTTATAAAACTATAAAGTTCAAAGCCAATAATTTAAAACTATAAGGACCAAAATCAAAATAAGATGAAACTGTAAGGACCAACAACAATATTAATCCTAAAACATAATTTGAAAAATAAAAAAGATTTCTGGGGGCAAATTCACTTTGTTTGGATGTGGGGCTGAAGTTTAACGAGTATTGATCAGACTTGCTAACCAAAATTAGGCTGATTAGTGAAAGTGAATGAAGCCTCAAGGTCAGTGGTACCTAATGCCAGTGTTTGAGCTAAAAAAGAGAATCTGAGTCGCACATGTTGACAAACACGTCTCTACATCAATGGGTTGACTTAATCCAACTCATATTATGCACTAAACCTAGTCATGATTTGAATTTGAATATTTATTATGTATAAATTATGTTTAATTTTTTAATTAAAGAAGTTTAACAAAAATATCAACTGATATTTTATGGTCTATTTCCTACACTTTTAGGTCTGGTATCTACCAAATGTTTGGCATCTCATAATTGTGTTTTTATTGAGAGGAAGAGATGATGTTTTATGCTTACTAGTTGAGAAGCAAGCCTTTGGGGCATAACATCATGTCTCATCCTTTTTGGACCAATTAGTGATAATTTCTTTCACAAGTGTTTGTCTAAATTTAATTTTCTTTCAGACTAAATATAATGATCTCTTTAAAAATTAAAATTTACCAACCATTCATTTTTATACCTAATTTTTTCCGGTGTTGGGTACCTTACGTCTCACTCCCTGCACAACAAGACTATTTTTTATGAGCAATTATTTAGTCTAAAAGAAAACCAGATTAAACATAATTATTTAGTGATTAATATAATGATGAGCAATTAGAATACCATGGGCCAAACAAGGGAGATAATTTCTAGGAGGGAACCTTTGTTCTTTTCTTATTGACTAGAATCTGGCATTTAGGGTTTAGTTACAGACAGTAGAAACTTTTTTCAGGTTATAAGATTTGCAATTCAATATCAAATTTCATTTTCTTTTTTTTGTTTGTTCTTTTTTTCAAAATGTGATATCCAATGTACATCAATATGTCCATATATTTAGAAAAAAAGAAGGCAATATGATTGGAGAGGAACGAAATTGAAGAATCTGATTCATTGAAAATGGATATCTTCACAATAGAGAAAGGTCATTAAAAAGACTTTGATATTGATGATGAGCTTCAACCACCAAAGAGATTGGCCACATGTTAATTATTAATTGATTAGATCTGTTAATAATATATTTGAATCCAATTTGGTTGTCTCTTCCAAATATTTTAATCTGGGTATTAAAGCCATTGTAAGGGAATCTGTAATATAATTAACCCTTAAAAGAAACACAGAAGGAAGCATCAAGATGGTGGCTCTATGGAGTAAGTAGAAGATACAAACAAAACATAGTATCATAACCAGCCATAATCTTCCAACAAAAAGAATAATGCTAGATTCATTAATTTCTCATTAGAGTTAACACTTTTGGATATGGAACGGGGAAAGAAAGATCAAGGTTTTGAGATAAATATGAAACAAAACATGAAATATAACTTTTGGTTCTTAATATAAGAGCTCGTTTAACTTTTATTTTGATCTTAAATATAAGATTTCAACACACTTTATCTTTTATATTTATCTATTTTTTTTAAGGTAGTCCTTGTAGTAATAATAGTCATAATAAATATACTTAATTAGCAAATATATATATTTTAAAAAAAATCTATTTATTACAAATAACTAACATATCTAATTTTTTTTTCAATTTATTTAAATTAGTCAACTAGCTCTTATATTAAGGCTATGAGATTATAAAATTATATACAGCTCCCATGAATTTTATGTTACATATAGTCCTTGAGTTTTGAAACTTTGTAATTAATGCCCTAACACGCTCACATTTATACATGTAACTGCGTTACTAGTAGTTTTGTTTATTATATTTATCTTCACGCGCACACATATAAATATATATATATATATATAAAAGTTTAGGAGCCTTATATGCATATAATTCAAAACTTGATGGAGTTATACACATTAAAATATAGTTGTAGGGGATATATAAATGATAGCTATGATTTACCAAAGTTTAAGTATGTTCATTATTAATTTATTGAGAAAATTATTTGTACATAGTTTAGAGTTCAAGAAAATTTTGTGTAATTTAACCATATAAATATACTACTATCTTCGGCTTAAAATATAAGCTAAATTTTATCTCTTTACGTTTATCAAGAAATTAGTTAAAATTAGTTTAAAATAATAAATATATAAGGTATGTATTTTTTTTCCAATATGCTCTTATTAATAAAGATAATAAGTAAAAGATGCAATAAATGAATCAAAGAGAAAAAAAATATAGGATAAAATTAAAAAAAACTCATTAAATATTTAGACAAAAGTGAATGTTATTTTATATAAAAAAAACTCCTCTAACAAAGTTTAGCTTATATTTTAAACCGAAGGTAAAATAGAGATAGCCTTATGAGCCTTGCAATTGAGGTCAATGAAAATAATGGTAATTATTTACCTCCAGTTCTAATTATAATATTTTATTTATAATCTACAAATGAGAACTACAAACGAGGTCATATCATTAGGACTGGAGGTAGTATTTAAAATTTGTAAAATTTGAATATTTAGATAGGATTTTTTTTTCTTTTGTAATATTATTTATCTTGCCAAAAACAATCAAAAAGTTAACTAGCAAATATGCTCAAATCTTATAACGAACTTGATATGTTTATTAAAAAATGAAATCTAATTAAAAAGATTATTTGCGATGGGAATGGGAAAAAGAATAAATGCAAATAAATATGGCTGTGAATGAGAGTGGGGGCAAACGAAGGGGAGATCCAAACAATAACGGTTGGAGATTCTGACTTTTTTGTCGCAAAGGTGACCTTAAAAGCATTGCAATTTAAGGCATTGTTTGGATGTTTCAGTTTCTTGGTGCGCCATATCTGCTGCTTCCCCACACCTAGAGATCTCCTCAACAAACACCTCATCTCAGCCCTTTATTTTCTTACCTTTTGCTTCTCCACACACTACACGTGCCTCCTATTATCATTCTTTCTTCTCTTCTCTTAATTTTATCCTTTTTCTTTTATTTTATTAATTTCTTTCATGCATGGAATTCTCTTCCTAACTCCAACAACACAAACAAGCAATGTTATACAGCCTTTGCCTAGCTAGCTGCTTGCTCCGATTCTTCTTCTAAAGCCCCGTGGTCACCGTCAACAACCCATTTCTTCAAGTTCTGATTTTGTTTTCATGGCAGTATGGGGATTAAGGATTTAGGATCAATTTTTCAGCATTTTTTGTTTGGGTTTTTTTAGAGAGAGTACTTGGGGAAACGGAAATCAAGGGGTCTCCCTCCCTTTTTGGGGATTGGATCTTGTACTTATAGAACTGTCACATCTCTGATCGTCTCTGGTGAAAAAGCAAGAAACTTCATGATCTGTTTCTGTTTTTCTGAACTTTGATCTACAATTTTGTCCCTTGAGCTGCGCTGCTGTACCTTCATCCCTTTTCATTCACAACATCTGGGACATGAACATGTTGAAGATTCGAGGTAACTGGTAGACTCAATAGTTATCTGATATTGCTTTGTTTTCTGGGTATATATATTCTGGATCAGATAATTCAGATCAAGCTTTCATGGAGGAGAGGAAATTCGTGTGCAAGTATTGCAACAAGAAGTACCCGTGTGGGAAGTCTCTGGGTGGACACATCAGAACTCATATGACTAATGAACATTCATCACATCAATCCAAGGAAGTTAAGACCAATGCCGATGATAGTGTCGCCAAGTTCGATGGAGGAAGGAAGCGGAAGAGAGATTTTGGTTCTGAAGAAGCTTCTTCTGAAATCCCCATTTATGGTCTCAGAGAGAATCCCAAGAATACGACGAAGCTCCTACATCCCAACTCTGCTATACAAAAAGAAAGATTCTGCAAAGAATGTGGGAAAGGCTTTTTGTCTCTGAAAGCTCTCTGCGGCCACATGGCTTGTCACTCGGAGAAAGATAAAGGGACGAAGAACAAGTTTGAGAACAATTCTGGGTTTAGCGGGAAGCAGAAAATGGTGATGATGGATAGCCAATCGGACACAGAGACTTCTGCTCCGAGTTATCCTAGGAGATCCAGAAGAACGAGGTTCAAGACAGTGAATACTGATACAAATGGTCACGCTTCTTCTGTTCCTTTGACGAATGGTTCTTCCTCTGTGTCTGAGGTTGAGCAAGAACAAGAAGAGGTCGCTAAGTGTTTGATGTTATTGTCCAGAGACTCCGGCCATAGGGGTCGTTTTGCCTTGCCTACTGAGTCTTCGGACAACAATTCTGTGGTGGTAGAGGTAAAATCACCGTCTGTGGACACGAGAATCAAATTAAAAAATGGTAAGAAAAGCGTTATGTCTAATGGTGTTGAGATGGTGGAGGAGAAGAAGAAGGCGGTACTGTATAAGAGCATGAAAGTGAAGTCTGCTGAGATTGTTGATTCTGATAATTCAGATTCTGGGTATTTCAGAAATGGTCCCAAAAAGTTGGATTTGGATGTTCCGATTGATAAGCATCTCAGAAGTAGGGAATTCAAAACACCAAAAGTGGAAGACAGGTCTAGTTTTGAGTTTGATCGGAAACACGACTCTGAATATGGGAAGAAGATGCTGATCAAGAACAGAGAAAGAACCAGAAGCACAGAACCGAGAAGACTAATTTTGGAGGATTTGGACTATGATACAACAGATGGACTGTCAAGGGAAGAGTTCATCAATTGGAGAAAGAGGCCAAGCTATAGTTCCATTTTCCAAAACAATTCAATTGGTGTTTCTAGCAAAGAGACACCAAATGGTTTTCAGAATGAAGGAGCATGGAAACAAGAGAGCTTAAACAGTGAAAAAATTATCAGCGGCTCTTATGATTCAGCATATGATGACAGTGATGAAAGTAGCACAGACACTGATGCTTGTCCTGCTCCGATATCTCATAGCAGCAAAGTCATCAATGGAAAAAAGATCAGCAAGTCCAAGAAGAAATTGAAGCCAAAGAAAAGCAGGGAGCATAGATGCCCCATCTGCTACAAAATTTTCAAGTCAGGGCAGGCATTAGGAGGTCACAAAAGGTCTCATTTTGTTGGAGGTTCTGAAGAGAACACCCTCGTGATCAAACAAGATTCTCCTGTTGTTCCATGCCTGATTGATCTCAATCTTCCTGCTCCTGTTGATGAGTAGGAGAGATTAACATCTGGGCTTTGCTTCTTTTCAGCGCATCTGCTAGCTTGGTAGTTGAAAATACCTGAAAATCTGAGACTGTTCTTGTCATTATCCCATATGATGGAAGCCGTAAAAATGTACAGACAAATGGTTAAGACCTTTCTGGTTTGAAATCTCAAGGCTTTATCCATTATTTGGCAGATGCTAGCTGTTTCTTTCATGTTAATGGAAGATGACAAGTTCTTAGTTGAAAATTTTGTTTCTCCCCAGGGATTCAATTCCTTTTCTGCAATTCTTAATTCCACCGTTCTTTGGTTCAATTAAGGAAATTTGTCCTTTCATGTTTTCCAGTTCTTCAAGTCCCTGGCGAATGCCTTTTGTCAGTGGTTAAATGTTAGGCTTGAGCTTTCAGATCTCAAATGCTTTTTAGCAATCGTGGTGAGTCAGGTACACTTTTGAAGGCATGATGATTATGATAACCAAAAAGATTCTAGTTTCTCCACCCATGACTTTGCTTCAATTTTTGACTTTGAACTCACAGAAAGAGTGTCCCTTGTACTGAGGGAACCTGACCCAACCTTGCCGTCTACGTGTTTTTCACTAAGAAAATCGTGGGACCCATCTTCTTTAGAAAATTTTGGTGAAAGGGTTAACGGGAGGAGAGAGATATTTCAAATCTTGAACTCAATGGTCTCTCCTTATTAACTTGGCCCCCTGTATTTGTTAATTGAAAATAGAGTCGCATTTTACTTGCCATTAAAACTAGTGATAAGCCTTTGATCTGACGTTATTGCACCAGAAATTAGTGTGTTTCGCTGGTATTATCTTTTCGGACTGAACAAGGGGAAGTGGTTAGATTATCCTTGACGATGAAGATATGATAATTTATTATTGCGGAACAAGGAGGACGCAATTTTGTTTTCTTGTTTTTTTATTCTGAGATAAGAGTTTGAGGGTTGAGGTGGTTGTAAGGTCGCCCGCCACTTAAGGTAGCGAATCGCAAAACTGCTCCATGTGGATCTCTCAAAATACATAGTTCTAGCCTCCAACAATTTATTTCACAGCTCAAAATCAATATTTTAATCACATGAAGCTGCAGAGCTATTGGCTAAAACTTTTTTTTTTTTTTAACGGGGAAAAAAGAAAAACTAATCTGAGGAGTTTGGCATATCATATGAGCACTTTTAAAAATATTTTCAAACAAGTAAAAATAAAACTCTTCTCACGTACTTACTTCAAACTTCATAAAATCATCTGTGAAAAATTAATCTAAACACCCCTCAACAAGAGATAAGAAAACACATTTGAAAAAACGATACATATTTTGCCACAATTTACTGTTTGGGCCCCGGCTCACTGAACATTTGCCTCAATTGACCAGTGTTTTATCCTCTTCTTCCCCGACGACCTTCAGCAAATCTTTCTTCAAAACTCGCACTACATAAATGTCAGTTTAGCAAATCTTAGGCCTAGTTTTTGAGTCAGAAAACGAAGAAAGCTTTCTGTTTGAGTGTGGCCACTGAAAAGCAAAATGAATTCAATCATTTTATGTCGTGTTTGACACAGACCCGAAGCAATCACAAATTAAACAAGGTGTTTCTGAATTGAAGAATTCAGCATCTAATCTCTCCTGAACAACTCTCATAGGGCTTCTCTGCGCCGCTTTTTGGACTACTGTCTTGTGCAACGGATGCAGCAGGGGGCAAGCTAGCCAGCTGCTAGATTTCACTTCCACTAACTACGTGGTATTAGCTACTCTACTCCCACCAGGAGTTGCCTTACATGTTGCTGCATCCAAAGCCAATGACGAGTTATCTCAATATTTCCAAGTATGAACTTCAGGGTATGGCAGGGCACCAGGCAAAAATAGTCCATATTTATCATCACATACCGCTTCCGTATATGCAAGCCAGGAACATAAGTCTGGTCCTGCCCTTAAAGTATTCAAGATCTGCCAACTCGAGTAACTATATACCGCCCCTTTTCAAGATCATAGATTGTCTTTAGCTGAGGTTTTCTCCACTTAGATATAGACCATGCTGTAAACAAGAATATTACAAAAATGGCAATAAGTGAGAGGAGTGACGGTGATCCATAGCTGATATTGGTAATCCAATTATGGTCCTGTACATCTGAATCAGCTGTGCTTTGCAGGATGAAAGCTCCCAGAGCCCAATCCAGCGGAATACTTCCCACCTGATTAGCAACTTTAATCCTGGAAAATTAATTCTAATCAATTAAAGTTAACCACAAAAATAATGCGAAAATGAATCAACATGATGAAACCAAACACAACCAATCATAAGTTGATAAGAGCATAAGCAGGCACACATGGATATTTTAAATACATTCACACGGAGAGGGGAAAAAAAAAAATCCCATCCCACTGGATCTTGAAAGTTAGAGTCTTCTACCCCAGTCTGAAACAATTCAACAAAGGGGTATGGCAATAACTTATCTTCCAGTTTAAGATATAATTCTGGATACATGACAAGCCAGCAATGAATATCTAACGGTCATGCATGGTGCCACATGTGACAGCTGGATTTGATCATCAACCTTGTTGAACCACGTTAAGAAGGATATCTAAACAGACCTAACAAAATTTGTCTGTTTCATCTCAGACTAAGTAATCGGTCCCAACTAATACTGTTAGTCTTTGTCTTCACATCAGCAAAAAGATAAACAAGGACATGTACCTTTCATCATCCAAAGCAACTCCAAGACTGTCATGAAGCAAGGCAACAGTGTATGCTGAAGAGAAGCAATACCGAAGCAAATCTTCCTCATCGAGGGACTGGTATTTTTTCTTAAGCTTTGACCAATCCGCTTCACAAAATTCTTGACCCGCTGTCATCAACTCCGACAAAAATGCCCTCGGTCCCAATTCAAAAAACTAACAGCACCAATGAAGAAACAGTAGAATTGAGTAAGTTGCATGCAAATCCAATACTTTATGGACAACAGTAGCATAAAATTACTACCATCTGAGATGCATCCGATCAAGACAGTAATGATAAAATGCACACATGTATGACACTAAAATCATGGTAATTAACCATCAAGAAAGAATACCTTTGATGTATAGAAGAAATTTTCTGTGGCAAGAAAGTTTCCCTGAAGTCTAGGTATGAAAGTTGATCCTATGTCACAATGCTGATAGGAACATTTTTCTGTATGGATCAAAACATGAAGGGAAAAATGCAACTATAAGCAAAAAAGTGAAGATATGCTATGGTAAAGTGAATAACTGAATACAAATTTGGCAAAGCAAATATGACCTTTCCCTTTCTGTAATAGCATCAACGCAGCAGATCTGCACTCTGAAAAGTTTCCCCTACTTTGAAGACTAGAAAGATATTGGTTTTCTTCCTTCATTGAACCAGAAGAGTGCTTCCATGACTCGTCATTGTGAGAATAGCCTTTGGGAGTGCAAGGATCAATTTGCAACCCTTTCTGAAGAGATTGAGGAGCTGCACTGAGGATAATTAAGAATCAATACCAAACTCTTATACAATCAGAAAATAGTATATGCAGTTCAGCATGCCATAAATGAGGATAGCCAACCAAGAATTAGGAAGTTATCATACGAGGTAGCCAGAGAATCAGTATTTCAGATATTAGATTCAGTATAATAAGCAAAAATAGATATTTTACCCCCAAAATAGATATTAGATCCAGTATGGAGATCACATCAGTATAGCTTTAAACCAATCTTTTTTCCAGAGAAAGCAAGATGTTAACAATTTTTTAAGAATGACGAATGTAAATCTTTAAGGTCATCATAAACGCACCAATCAAATCCATGAAATAAAGTATATATCTAATGAAAATTATGTTTAAAGATACTCCAGACGGAGAAATCAGTCCCAGAATGATGCATATAAAATTACCCATGTTAAAATCTCCAGATGCAAGTGCTTCCCTCAATGAGTCATGAGCAACATTCTGCAAAATTGCAACAATTAGAAGGCCTCTAAGAATACAGTATGACTGTAATTCATGTGTACAAATGCTCAGTTATAGCCTATCAATCTCATTAGATAATGCCATTAAATTTTGAGAGATTGATCCAGCGAATTTCTTAAATGTACAGGAAAGAAGGGCAACAAGAGATTAGTGAGAAAATCAAGTGCCCTAATCATTGCAAGCCCAGTGAAATGGGTAATCACCAATGTTAAAACAAGCAAGGCAGCCAGTAACATGAGCCTAAAGAATACAGCAAAGAGAAAAGTAATTACCAGACCAAAATGAAGAAAGCTGTTGCTATAAAGGTTGTAGGTGGTATTCCCAAGTTTAACAGCACGTAAAAACCCGGATGGAAATGACTCGGTTGATACAAATGTAACCTGAAAGTCAAGCAAAAACTCTAAGCAGTAGTTCCATACATCACGCTCCCCAAGAGTATGATTCTAGCTTAAAATTATAACTCATAAACCAAACAACCGATTAGTTGAAACTCGAAGGGTTTTGTAGCATATTAACTATCAAATAGTTTCCCATGACGTTGGAAAACAAAACCATTTGCAATCTAATGATAGTGGTAGATTCTGAAGCTTTGCTTTCTTTCTGTACAGGAAAATGCTTACCCATAATCCGTGTCAATTCAGGCACAACTTGTATATGCATGTAATTCAGCAATGATGTCATTCTATATGCAAAAAGAATACCGCTCACAGAATGCCACAATCTTCACCATTGCTTAAGAAGCAAAATCATAATTCACAGTTAGCAACTTGTCTGTAAGGTTCTTTCTTTATGATCAGTTTATTAGAGGAGTATAATGGACAAGAGTTGTGGATTGAATCAAGCTTCCAGGAGAATCACCTACCATCAACAATCTAGAATAGCCGATCTTGCTTCTAATTATTGGCTTGTGTGTCTCATAATAATTGTGATCAAGTCATTAATCGTCTAATGAGACAAAACAATTTGGTTCTGAATATTACAATAGACTCAAAAATTTTGAAAACAAACAACAATATGTAAAGGAAGATAGTGAAAGCAGTACCTGAGCAGAAGCCCCACCAAGTTCAATAATTCCTGTTGTATGCAAAGGATCACCTCCAAGTGTGCCAAGTGCATGATTTGCAACAACCCAAGCATACACTCCTTCATCAGAACCTATACAACCAAATATTAAATCATCACATCAGAAGAAGTGAAGCAGAAAAAAGTCACATATGCTGGTTCATCGAATTATTGAAAATTGTAAGACAAAAAGAAAGGGAAGGGGAAGAAAACAAGAAAAAAGCATCAATAATCACATCATCATTATGACACGAACATAGAGATCAAGACAATCTGTAACTAAAAAAGAAAGCAAAACAGTGAAAGATATGGCGTTATAAACTGACTAGACGTGTGAAGTTTCAGGTCTTGAAACAGTCAATCCTTGTAAAAATATTCTTGTTGGAATAATCTAGCTCACCTACCAACTCCCTTTTTCCTTTCCAGATTTTCATACATCTAATAGATATCAAATGAGGCTCCTACTTCTATTTTTGGAATCAACATTATCGATACACCATCTGGTTAAAGCGAGCCCTATATAATTACCTAGCCTGAAAGTTGTATGACATTAACGTTTGGAATGGGGACGCTCTGAAGTTGAGTTTCTAAAGTTGGGTTAATGCAATGCAAAATACTACTACTCCGGTCCTATAAGACCCATTCTGGAAGAGTGATATTTTATGTCAACTTCACCACCTTCAGACATTCAAACATTTGAGATGATAATGATGTTGGCTCCACTCTATGATTCTATCTTAATGGAAGCTGTTACCATAGAACAACAACATGCAATGACCAATGACCATGGAGCTAATGCAGCTTGAATAATTATCCCCAATCCTTAAAATTTTAAACTCGCATGCCTATCTCCTGCAACTCTCTGCGCATTGAGATGGAGTAGAGACAGCATTGAAAACAGTCATTCAGCCAATAAAGCGATCACATTTGTAGTTTCGTTTAGTACACCAAAGTTAATATCTTTCTTTGATAGTCCAATGAAAAAGAGAATAATTAGAAAAAACAAAGAAGACTCTACTAATGCAGAGGTATTATTTTGCGGTTAGTAGTGTTATCTGCATGAGTATCATTCATCGTGTTGTCTTCCTCGGAACTCTTACATTCTACACTAATGCAACAGAATTGAGAAGTTAAACAAGAAGTGGCAGCGTCGGTAGGAAGAGAACCTGTAATGACAGAAGCCCACTCGTCCCTAAATTTAAACCCAGACGAACGGAGCAATCTCCTACATGATTCCAGGATCCGCTGCTGCACATTTACTTCCAGTATCCTCAACCCAGCCGTTGCCATTAGTCGAATTTCCGTATCCCTCCAAGATTCCTTCGGAATTTTACTCTTTCCAAAATCCAGAAGCTCGAAAAGCGAGTGTCCAGCCCCATCTGGCTCCCCCGCAAATGAAGAAAGACCCGGGCTCACTCTCATCGAAGCCAAACCATCCTTCCCAAAATCAAAAACCGGATTTCCGCCTTCCAATCTGTACTTGAACACGTGAATTCTGGTCCCAGTGCTCCCTCCATCAATAACGATCGCAAATTTTGTTATCACGGAATTGGGCGAACTGATGCCAGAGAAGATTGCGTAGCAGATGAAAAAAGCAAGGGCGATCGGAATCGAAGCGAAAACAAAACAGTGGGACCTGGAAATACTCTTGGGATTGCGCGAAAAGAGACCTGAGCGACCACTGGGACGAAGATGAAGCTTAATCGGATTCGGATCCATCTTAGATTTCGAACTGACCCGAGTTCGGGCATTCAATCGTCGCATGAAAATCCGAAGGGTGAAAGCGAGAAAAACATGAGATGACGGATGGAGGGGCTGATTCGGGGGAGCTCAGGCGGGTGTGGGGACGGAGAGGGCGTCAATCATGGAAGTCTTCGCCCTCTCAGTCTTCTCTCTCCCTCGGTGCTCTGTTGTTGTTTGCGCGTATCGGAGTGACTTCTTTTGCAACTACTTTTCTCAGAATTCAAATCTGTGATATCTATGTCATATCATTATTCTCAACTCAGACTCAAACTAATTTGACCATTTTGACCCTGTTCTTTTGGAGTTTGCTATCTACAAATTTCTCACCAATCAATTTCTTTTTAAAAAGAATGGAATTTAAAGTTTTCACTTAAAAAGAAATACTTCCCTGCTTAAAAAGAAACACTTATACGCTATTAAATGTAATATCCTAAATTAATTTTTAGAATTTATATAAAAAATATATATTTTTTATTATTATAATAAAATAATATTATTTTATAAAAGAATAATATATTTGGTGGAAAGTTGACAGGAGAGGTAGAAATTTGGAGGGGGTTGCGGTAGAATTCGACCCCCTCAATAAATATTTGAGGTTGTTAAATACCCCCTCCAAATTCATTTCGCATCAGACGCAAGGAGGAAAGAGAGATAGAGTGGGTGAGGAACGAGAGAAAGAGAGATAGAGTGGGAGGAGCATACCGGTGAAGAAGAGGGCAAGCTTTGCAGATATTTTAGGTACATAAAATTACTTCTTTTTATCAAAATTTCTTTATAAATATTTTTTGTATATTTTAAGCTTCCTATTTACATTATTATTGTAGTTATTAGAGAAAATTTTGAGACTTATATATGATCTAAGTATTGAGTTTTGATAAAAGATGACTATAGAAATTTAGAAGTGAATGAGGTGTTAATTTTAACCAGTTTAGATTTCTCTATTTGTTAGTTTTAGTATTTAAATTAATTTATTTAGTTGAAAATCTGTCATTTATGAGATATACCATATTTTTACCGATTAAATTCAAGTTAAGTAATTTATTTAGGTTGTTTGGCATATTATTAAGATTTTAATCGGTTTAGTTTTATTTATTGGTTGACTGGAGGTTTTAAAATAATTATTGTAGCTAAAAAGTCTATTATTTACGGAAAAATATATATATGGTAGTTATACCATTAAAGTTTTGATTAGATTATTTATTTATAAATATTTGAAGTATTATTGAATTTTTGATAGTTTGATTTTGAGGCTTAAACTTAAATGAAGATTTTTAGAGTTTATAACATAATAATTTTATATTTGGAAATTGTTGAAAATCCTTTTTATTAAGGTAAATAATTTGGAGGTAGTAAATAAATAATTTGGCTTGTTAGAAATTTTAAATTGTTGCTAAAATACTTAATAATTTTGGGTTATGAGAGTTGCGGGAATTTAAAATAATAATTTAATTAAATTAGAAATTTAAATAATATAGAGAAGTTTAATTAATTAATTAATTAGTTTATATTAATATGTGGTTATATTAATTGTGTAGATTAATTATTGGTTGAGCAAAGGATTGACCTTGTGGTAATCCTTAGTATTGCTTTGGCGAGAGGTAACCACTTTCCACTTGTTATATGTGCTAATATGTTGTTTGTGAGTATTTTGCTATTTTGGTATAGTGATTTGTTATTTGAAACTCAAGTAGATAAATTATATCTTTTGAGCTATAAAAATTGTCTTGTGGGATTTTTGGAATTGTGATTGAGGTGTTTGGAAAAGATATATGATTTATATCTTATAGATTATACTGGGAAAAGATTGAGACATTTTTGTTATATTGTAAATGGTTGGTTGTTATTTGGATTTTGGATTGAGCGCTATCCTACCACGTGGTAAGGCCGCCATTGGTGCACATTGGTTGGCTTCTTCCTTCGTCCCTAGAGTAAGGGATAGACCCTTGTGGCTTTTTATTCGTCCTCCAAAGTGTGGAATAGGCCTGTAATAAGGGATGAATCTTTGTGACTATTTAATCGTCCCCCAAAGTGTGGGATAGGCCTATAGGTCGGTTTGATCCCCTATAGTGAGGGATAGACTTATGTGGCTTGTGTGTTAGCTCCCGTAATGAGGATTTGGATGATTGAGATTATTTGAATATACATATTTGTATTTTCAGTGATATATATTGAGATTTAATAATTATCCCACTTGACACCTCACGAGCACATGTTAGTATGTATGATGAGCTGGAAAGTTGGTTACTGAGGCGTTTGTCTCACCCCGTGGTTTAACATTTTCAGGCGATAGTTCAGGTGGTGGCCCATCAGGGAAGGCTCCGGAGGCATAGTGTGCTGTTATAGCTTGTATAGCCTCCCTGCTTTTGTTCTATGTGCTGACTTGTTATATATTGCCACATAGGGCCCATATACTCTAGTGCTGTAAACTAATACTTTTAATTACTACTATCTGATATGGGAGGTCATTGGAAGGCCGGAGATATTTACGACTCTGCGTATTACACTCATTTGATAGTGTTGACTTTTGACTAATGGGCTCTAAGACTTATATTAAAATGTTTTATCAATTCGTGTGTTTGAAAGTGTAAGTTTGGTTTGGGCTAACAGTTGAATGATATTTCTGGACTTTGAAAGTCCAAGACCCAAGTGGACGATTGATGTGGCTCGTAATATAAGTTTATTTCTTTTAACCATGATAGCGATTTTAAAATTTTAAGGTTTCTTCTTTTCTATCATGGTTAATCGTTTGAATAGATTGAAAATTTTGATCTAAATGGGTTTTAAAAGAACGGTTGTCATATTAAATATAAGATCCATTTTCAAATTAAAGGAGTATTTCAAATTAAAGCAAGCGTGAGCAAAGCCTAAGGCTTTGTTTGGTTGGAGGGTTATTGAGGGGAAGGGAGGAGAGGGGAGGGAAATAGATGAAATAAGTGTGTTTGGTTAGGAAAAATAGAGAGGAGGAGAGAAAATAAATTTGTCTTTTAGTACTCTCCTCCAAATTTAAGATTTTTTAGAGGGGAGAGAAATATTATGTTTGATATTGACTAAACTACCCACACTAACTTTTCAATATTCCAAGTTTACCCCTCTTGTTAAAAACCTTCTTCTCACTTCTTTCTCTTTTCAGCCACTAACGATATTTGAAAATGATAATATAATATTTCTATCATGGTAGCAATTTTTTTTCATAATATAATATGATAAGTATACATTAATAGAGGATAGTGTATTGTAATTATATAATATATACATATCATAATGTGTGTGTATTATAATATCAGATAAGTTGCAAACATGCATATATATATATATATATTAATATATACATGTCATAACTTGTGTATTATAATTATATAATATATACATATCATATATCTTAATACACATGTGTATGTATTATAATTATAAAATGAATGAGATAGAATGTTAAACTTTTTATCATATTTTCTATTTTTTTAGTTTTATCATAATTTTTTATCACATGTAATTGAGGTAATTGGTTTTTTTTTGAAATTGATAAATTAAGAAATAATAATTTTGATATAAATATTGTAATAAAAGATTAAAGTAGTTTAAATATAAAGATAAGAGCATGTTTGTCAATTTATAATTACCTCCCTTCTTTTCTTCTTATGAAGCAAACAAGAAATCTCTCCTCTAACCCAACAAAACCTAATATCTCATATTAGATTCCAGGTTGGGTGGGATCAAGAACCTACAACCCCTCTTGCTCTTATCATTTTTAAGGATGCGGCCGATGTAGCAAAGTTTAGATTGTTTAATAATTGTTGTAATCTACCTCATGAACGTGTTGCCTGATTTTGCTTTGTAAACGGTTTTTTTTTTGTCCTATCGTTTCTGACTCTTTGGTGTTGTTTCAATTTAAATCTTTAACTCTGAACAAATGGTGGTGTTGATTAGAAGAGACTTTGTCAACAAACATAATCAACATTCTTGTTTTAAGGTTAAATAATATCACCCTGTTCATCATTTTAGTTTACAGAGAATACATGCAAATGTCATTACGGGATGTTAATATTTAAGATTTTTTTTTAATTTGCTAAAAAAGGACAAAAATACTTTTAAAACGGTACTCATTTATGAAAGGGAAAATAACGTAAAAAGAAGTTGAAAATTGCAATATTTCAATTTAAACACTTAGAGGTCAAAATCCAAAAAAAAAAAAAAAGTGGTGTTTAATCTGGAATTTTGCAACTGTAGTCAAATGATTCAAATGCCCTTATATCATTTTTTTTTAAAAAAAAAAGAGCTATCAAACTTGTTATTGTCAGGGCATTTTTTGTCATTAGTTATTACACTTGTTATCATCAATTCATAACTTATTAAAAGACTTTTTGATGTAATTTGACTACATCTGCAAAATACTACAACATACATTATTTCTTTTTTTTGGGATTTTGACCTGTTAGATGCGTGAATGAAAATATTGCAATTTCCAACTTCTTTTTACGTCAAAGTAGTTTTAATTCTTATTTGACAGTGATTGATTATCATATATACACCATACTCTGGCTTCCCATCTTCGTCTTCTCTGTCTATAAGTTGATCTCTCACTGTATCACCTATTTCTCTACACCTCATCTTCACTTGCTTCATCAAATTGCTGCCAGAAACAGAGATCATTATGATGTCTAGAGTCTCCATCTTAATCCAACTTCTGCTGCTGAAAAGCCTATCATCAGTTCTCTCTGTTACTCAACACTTTCATTTCTTTTACTTTGTTCTTCATGTTAGCTGGTGAGTATTTGTGTTTTCTAATCTAATCTCTCAGCCAAAGGTTGTGTTTGGGATTTACAAAACATGGGTGTTTAATTTGAGACTTTTGGACTCTCAGTGGTCAGGATCATACTATGACACACAGCAAGCTTGTTGTTACCCAACAACTGGGAAGCCTGAAGCAGATTTTGGAATTCATGGTCCCTGGCCTCATTATAAAAATGGTTCACGTCCAGTTTACTGTGATCCTAATAGCCCATTTAAGGAATCCGAGGTATATATCAGTGTACTTCAATTTCAGTTTTGCTTTGCTTCTTTTTTTCTTATCAAACACCAATCTCTCTCAAGTATAGATGAAAGATTGGTGTTTATCATATACATATATAAAAGTAAAATAACAGTTACCAAATTCATATTCTTTTCTTAATGTATAGTTTCCACATGGACTGATTTAATGTAAATGAGAAAAGGTATCAGAACTGATGAGGAATTTCTAGAAGGATTGGCCAACACTGGCATGCCCAAGCGGGAATGGAACAAAATTCTGGAGCAATGAATGGAACAAACATGTCACTTGTTCTCAGTCTCTTCTTCCCCAACATGACTACTTTGCGGCATGTCTCAATCTTAAACACCAAACCAACCTCCTCCGAGCTCTCTCAAATGCTGGTATATATACCTTTCTCGAAAACTCATCTTGTTCAATCAAAAAAAAAAAAAAAAATCTCACAGACTAAACTTGGATTGCTGATATATATGTTGTGGTGTTTGGGAGAGCTTAAAAAGGTGTGTTTTAATCCAAACCAAGGCTTTCCTCCATATTTATCTAAACATCCATCCAAAACCAAAAATAGATTTCTCCCCAAGGCCATGCTTTCAACTGAAACTCAGGGGAGTTTGGTAACCCTTAAAAGCATTTGAAAAAGTGCTTTTATACAAATTAAGACAAAACTCATTTCATATATTTATTTCAGACATCATAAAGTCACTTTCAGAAAACTAATGTATTCTCCAAAATCCAATCTAAACAAACTCGCGTGTGTGCAGGAATAGAAGCAGATGGAGGGTATTACTGGTTGAGCAGCATTGAAGATGCAATAAAGGAATCAACTGGGTTTGCTCCGTTCACAGAGTGCAGTGAGGACTCTTATGGAAACAGCCAGCTTTATGAAGTTTCCTTGTGTGTTGACACTTCTGCCTCCAACTTCATCCACTGTCCAGTCTTCCCTGCCACCACTTCCAAATGTCCTTCTAATATTCGCTTCCCTTCGTTTGATTCTACTTCCATTTTCTTTTCCTCCAACCAAGATTTTAATTCTTTTTTGTTGAAGTGAATGATTCTTTAAAATGTCTTATATAAATAACAGATTTTTTTTACAACTTAAACCTTTATTTATAATTGAATATCTTTATTTTATATTAATATTTTTATAGATTATTCTTTAGTTGTCATGCTCCCCAAAAATATTCCACCCTCAAAATCAATATAGTCTTAATTTTATTCTTTATGTGAAACTCATGATGAGTTAAATTATTCATAAATCACCACCTCTCGAGGTGCAGTTTGATGAAGGAGGATAGAATTTTTCTCCTGTTCTTCTTGTCTTGTATTTGTTGATTTCCAAGTTTTTACTCCAAAATAAAAAATTATTATAAGTAATGCATCTTTATATAATGAAAATAAACTTCCTGGCATTATTTAGTAAATTAAATATATTTATATACTCATTTGGATATGCTTCTTTTAAGTGTTTATAAACACTTTTATATAAGTCCAGACATTTTTTCTTACGTACTTATTTTGTATTCTGTATAAAAGTTTTATAAAAACAAGCCATTATGATGTGATGTGATGTGAATTGCATGAGATTGCAAGTAAAACAACATCACAATCAATCAATAATCAATAATTAAATTATTAGTTTTAGTTGTTTAAACTCTAAAGTGTTGCTTCTTTTTTTTTGCCAACCTTAAATAAATATTTGACTTTCACGGCACTCTATACATATGAGACTGTAGGGGGAAAAAACTCACACAATCCAATTAAATTATGCTGCGTAGTAACTCAACCACGTTGGATTTGACGTAATTAATGATGATGATGATGATGATTAATAATCCAGTTTCATATCTCCGGCTCATGGTAAAACTATTCCATTCACATGGGAAACAAACACCCAAATCCAAACTGACTCAGTTCACTAAAAAGAAATCTTTCAAATTAAAGCAAGTGTGAACATAACCAAATCACAATATACTGGTAAAAGACACTTTGCTAGCTAACATCAGCTACATCCTTGTTTTAAAGTTAAACGATGCCCTTAAAACATTTTTAAAACAGCAAATACAACTAGCTGACTTGTGTCTTTGTGTTTATATTTGTGGTTTTCTTTTCTAAACTAATTTACTTAGCTTATAAACTGATGTATAATAATATATATGTTATAATTAAATAATTTATTTAGATTTTTTAATCTCTCCAAAACACTTGCCCAGCGAAAATAAAACGAAATAAAATAAAGTAGAAGAGACGGCGCGCGTGATTATATATAGTTAATCATGGAGGGGTTTCACACGTAAACGAAATCAAACGTTGATAATGATTGATTAGCATATACCATCTCAGATACTCTCTGTTTCTCTCTGCCTTCCCACCTTTTTCTGCCCATAAATTGATTTCTCAATGTATCACGTTCTCCAACATTCCATAAATTGCGTATAACCCATTTCTCTATTCCCCATTCTCTCTCACTTCAACAAATTGCAGCCCCAAACAGAGATCAATATGAAGTCTAAAGTCTCCATCTTGATACAACTTCTGCTACTGCAATATCTGTCAGTTCTCTCTGTTTCTGAGGACTTTGATTTCTTCTACTTTGTTCTTCAGGTTTGTGCGTGTGTTTCTGCCTTTTATTCTGATCTGTGAATGGATTTTGGTTGCTTAAGTTGGGATTTTTTGGATTTTCAGTGGCCAGGATCATACTGCGACTCACAACAGAGTTGTTGTTACCCAACAAGTGGGAAGCCTGAAGCAGATTTTGGAATTCATGGTCTCTGGCCTAATTACAATGACGGTTCATACCCATCAAACTGTGATCCTAATAACCCTTTTAAACAATCTGAGGTATGCCATTGTACACCAATTTCAGTTTTTGATTTACTTCTTTAATCCCAGGTTCTGCAAACTGAAAAGTTAAATCCGTTATGAGCAAGCCTCACCCTTTCTTGTTTGCTCCTCGCGTTTTACTTCATTTGACCAAAGCTTGATTTAAAGATAATCCCATTTGAATGTTGTGTTCCTCTTGTCCTGTGCTGGAGAAGAAAATATAAGTAACAGATCCAATTGAAAATTCAGGAGATGAAATTTGTTTGTTTTTGTACCCTCCCAAGAAAAATTGATCCCTGGAACGGCAGAAACGGTACCTTGTCTGTCGTGGGATATGAACTTGTGCTCGTTGGAATAGAATATATATATATATATATATATTCTTGGTCAAGATATATATATATATATATATATATATTCTTACTCACAATCTTGACCATACGTTGGGGGCCATTGCTTGATTTCTTAGGCATGCGTAGAAGCTTATTTTGTTTTCATCAGTTGCTAGTTTCATAATTTAAATAGTATAGGTTTATGTAAATTTTATATTTTATAGTAATATCAACGAATATTTACGTTAACTTTTGCAAATTAAAAATTCCTTTAATACAATTTTTTATTTAAAAAAAAATTTGAGAGATTTTCCTTGAAAACAAAGAGTAGATAAAAGAAATTCCGTATATTTCTCAATAGTTTTGTCAAAATTGCATAGACTTTTATTTTTCATTTTGCTAAAACTTTTTTTCATATAGTTTTTGGTTTTATGAAAGGTTGGTACATTCCTTAAAATAAAAATATGTAATTAAATTCTTGAAATTGTTGCTTTAATTTTAAAAATAAAACAAAATATGTTATTATAAAAAATTATTTAGGAAAAAAATTATACAGCTACCAAATAAAGGAAGTAAAACAGTTTCAAGTTATTATAAAAAGTTAAAACAGCAGCAGCTTGGCCCATAACTATCAAATAATAAATAAAAAAAAGGTATAGCAGTTTCAAGTACTTTACTCAGTTCAATGCTTTGATCTGATTCGCTCAGATTCATTATTCTGTGAGTCCTAATCATCGTAGTAATCTTGTCAAGGACGAGATTCAATAAATCAACAAATGACAACCTAACTAATTAAGGAATATAAAACAACAAAGAAAGGGTCATACATCTATAATTGATTCATTTCTTTCCTATAATATGTCACATGAAATATTATTGATTGATTTTATGTATTGGACGACAGATATCAGATCTGATAAGTAATCTACAGAGGAATTGGCCGACACTGGCATGCCCAAGCGGTAACGGAATACAATTCTGGAGCCATGAATGGGACAAACATGGTACCTGTTCTGAGTCTGTCCTTCACCAACATGACTACTTTGCTTCTGCTCTCAACCTCAAGCAACAAGCCAACCTCCTCCAAGCTCTCTCTAATACTGGTACATTCCCAAAAGCTTCAGCTTTTTAAATCAGAAAAATCTCACATACTAATTAATAAACTTGGATTATATTTCTGATACAGATATATGTGTGTGTATCTTTATATAGGAATAGAAGCAGATGGAGGGTCTTACAGCTTGAGCAGCATTAAAGCTGCTGTAAAGCAATCAACTGGGTTTGCTCCATTCATAGAGTGCAATCAGGATTCTTCTGGAAACAGCCAGCTTTACCAAGTTTACTTGTGTGTTGATATTTCTGCCTCCAACTTCATGGACTGTCCTATCTTCCCTTCCTCCAAGTGTCCCTCTCATATTCAGTTCCCTTCTTTCTGATTGCTTCCTTAGATTTTCATTCTATATAACAGCCTTATCATATAGAGTTTATATATCTTATTAGCAGAGTTGCATTTCATATTTACAATCAAGTAGGGCAATAGACCATGGTTGATGATTATCAGAAAAGTAATTATACTGTTAAAAAGGTGCTTGTTCTGTTATAATAATCTTGGACGTCATTTCATATGTATGCACACGTGGAAGCACAAATCAGAACTTCTCAGAAGGAAATCAAAACTCATCCTGTCAATCTCCATCCAACCAATCATATCTAATGGATCAAGTATTCTTTTAAAAAAGCTTTTTACTTATAATGTAAACGAAAACCTGCGCTGCAAGTGCCGATAGCTTGGTTGTGCCTGACACGCGTCTGAATAAAGAAAGAAACAATGGTGGTGAAACAAGTTTGCAAGTAAAATAGAACATTCACATATAAGATGCTTTTTAGTTAATGCTTAATAAAGTCACCGTCCATTGGCAAACTTTATGATCACAATCACGCCAAGCTAGCTAGCGTCTCTTCAAACTTGTATTTATGTTTGACTTGCACGCAAGCAACATCATCACCATTTATGTTTCCATTCATCGTTGCCTTTACAACCATATATTATAACCTAAATAAACATGCCACCTAACTATTTCTTTCATTCAACATACATATATGATATATTGAATAATATTATTTGTTTATATCTATCATCATTTGTTCGTTTTGACGACAGAAGATGGTAGAAGTCCCAACCTTCACAACAAGTAACTCCAGAAACAGACGCAAAACTCAATGCTTGCTCCTCAAAGCAATGATATATGATGAACTCTCTATATATGCACCTTCTGAGTTTGCCTAGCTACTTGCATTCGATAGAGAGATCATATATAGAGATGACCGTGAAGATGAAGCCCAACTTTTCCTTACTGTCCAGACTTATAGTACTACAATGCCTATCAGTACTGTGCAGTTGTCAGGATTTTGATTTTTTCTACTTTGTTCAGCAGGTAAATATCATATTTTCTGCTGGGGTTGAGTCGTTTAATATTTTAGCACACGCTGCAATATATTTGGAATTGTGAATGATGATGATAATGGTGTATATATGTGTGTGTGTGTGCGCATATATTTGTACAGTGGCCAGGAGCATACTGTGACACAAAGCATAACTGTTGCTACCCGAAGACTGGAAAACCTGCAGCAGATTTCAGCATTCATGGACTCTGGCCTAACAACAAGGATGGCTCTTGGCCCTCTAACTGTAATCCTGATAGCGTCTTTGATAAATCTCAGGTACTTTCATTTCTTCAACACCAATGGATAAAAAAGGCTTCATATGCTGTGGTAATATATAATCAAAATGGTTGTTACAGATTACAGAACTGATTAGCAATATGGAAAAGGATTGGCCATCACTAAGCTGTCCAAGTGGCAACAACCTGAGGTTTTGGTCTCATGAATGGGAAAAACATGGAACCTGCTCAGAATCTGAGCTTGATCAGCGTGACTACTTTGAAACTGCTCTTAAACTCAAGCAGAAAGCCAACCTCCTCAACATCCTCAACCACGCAGGTACATTCTAATCAACACTTGGTCATATGTTAGTTTTGCTATTATCTCTGATGATAATTAATAAGGTGAAAGATGATGACTACGGCAAAATCTGGTTGTAAGGATTGAGAGGAAATGGATTTTTTTTTTTTTCAGGGATTAAAGCTGATGATGGATCGTACAGTTTACAAAGAATTAAAGAGGCTATAAAGAAGGGCGTTGGGTTTACTCCTGGAATTGAGTGCAATGTGGATTCAAGACACAACAGCCAGCTTTATCAAGTTTATCTGTGCGTGGACGCTTCTGGGTCAGATTTTATTGAGTGCCCTATTCTTCCCACAAGCAGATGCAGTTCACAAGTCCAGTTTCCCAAGTTTTAAGACAATTACTAATTACAATGAAAGATAACAGAATACGTTTTAATTTGTTGGCTTCCTCCATAATCTTTAATATTGTCTCTGGATTGTTTCATTCCTATTCTTATCATTTACTCCAATAATCTGATTGATGAGTTGTGGCTAAGCTACTCAAACACGAGCTCGTTTACCAGATGCTTGTCCCTGGCACTTTTGTTATCAATCATCATTACTTCTTCGATCTTTCCTGTGTTGCAGTCTTATTTGATACGTTGCGTGTACATATAATAAGGGGAAAATATTTCAAGTTATGCGCATGAACTGAGGGAGAATATATACTGCCATGCCAAAACTTTGACTTCATAAAGAAAGACTCAACAGTGATTTAGTTTAACAATGATGAGCCCAGTGACGAATAACGAAGGCTAGGCCAAAGAATAAAATAATCAATTCATATAGTTTTCACAATAACTAGGAGCAGTGATCACAATTTAAAACTCCAGCCTTCTGCATATCCATGTGCGTATGTTCAGAGATCCGAAGTTTCCAGCTTGTAAAGCCAATGGTTTTAGACTTCGAGAAAGTGGTTTGTTCATTCCAAAGTCCTTCTACTGCCTATTTATCCACAGTTCAAGACAGTGCAGAGGCCATGAAATACAAAACACATATAGATAGTTTCCGCATTGAAGTTGAAGAAAATCAGAGGAAACTAGAACAAAGATGAAGAAGTTCATTTACTTGGCTCTGCTTCTGGCGATTGTGGCCATTGCTGGGGTTGAAGCTCATGGCTACGAAGTGTGTGGGAAGTTCAGTCCAGATAGAATGCTCACACATGTTCTTCGTCACTGTGAAAAACCAGCAAGAGATTTAACTGTTCCTGTCTCTCCAAAATGCTGCGAGCCTCTCTCCCAAATTTCTGAGGAATGCTTCGACGCTATCATCAATTCTGACACTTGGAAATATTCAGACATCGACCATAGCTTCGCCTTGACCATTCCAAGACGGTGCCATCTCATTCATCGCCCCCACTAGTGCACTTACACAAAGCTTATGAACTACTAGTTACCTACCAAGCTACTGTAATAAAGTGCGTGACTCTATGTGTCTTTAACAAGTGCTCATTATAGTAGTTCATAATTAATGAGATTGTTAATCATGTTTCAGTGTTGATTTAGAGTCAAGCATAATGTGTCTTTCGTTCAATCTGCGAATGGTGTTTGATTCGTTGAGTTTGAACTTGTTTGTGTTTTTGTTTTAATCTCAAAGATGTATTGAGTTTCATACATAAGTGAACTGTTTTTCTCTTAATTATGATATAAACCAATAGGTTGACGAAATTAGCTGGCGTTTCTTGTTTGAATTCAACATGTACTGACAACACATTTTCTCAGTGCATCACAAAAATATAATACATGAAATGTTAATTTGTGCCACGATAGTTGTTAATTGTTGCATCTTAAGTTGTTAACGATTGCACTTTTAGTTGTCAATGCATACTTTTAAAAAAAAGACAAAGATAATTTGGTAATTAAACAAATAAAATTTATTACAATAAGATCTATTGGGACTTCATATTAATTTGATTATTTTAAGGGACTTTTTATATTTAATTCTCTTGGGCGGAACCTTATTGTAATTTTCCCAAAGTTATTTTGTTAGAATGATAATTTAAGAAAAGCACACAATATATTTTTATTAGAGCATATTATATAAGCACTTAAAAATCTACACTTCCCATAGAGGAGAAGAGATGACCAGAGACCCGAATTATCCATTTTCATAATGTGTTGGGCAAAAAGAATAAGTGTTGGCTTTCTCCTTCTTATAACTGTCTCCGGATTATTTCAATCCTATTCTTAACATTATTAATTTATGTCAATGTATATTTTGATTGAATTATGGCTAGCAAGGCTACTCAAACATGAGCGTGAGGTTCTGGTGCTCAAGTTAGCAATATATATTTCTTGTGTTGAATTTTTATCAAATTTGAATCAATCTGTTGAAAAATAATTATCAGGTCCTCAACGTAAGACCTATTTTTCATAATTAACTAATTTATTTAACTTGTCTAATCTAATTAAATTAATTAAATAGGTGTTACATTAAAGACCGGGGAGTATATAGTTTTCATTCGGCCGATATGTTGTTTTGATAACAATAACTAGGAGCAGTCCACAATATAAAACTTCAGCTTCTGGCTATCCCATGTGCTTCATATCTGCAAGTCCTGAGATTTCCAAATATCATCAACAACTTCTTTCCTCCTTGGGAATCAATAAACATGGATTCCAAAACTTGTAAATTAAAGCCAAAGGGTTAAGACTTTGGAAACAAGGTTTTTTCATTCCAAGGTGCTGCTACTGCCTATATATACACAGTTCGAGACAGAGCCGAAGCTGTGAAATACAAACACACATAGCTTCCTTGTTCAGGTTAATCAGAGGAAACAACGAAGCAGGAAGATGAAGAAGTTCGTTTGCTTGGTGTTGCTTTTGGCGATCGTGGCCATTGCTGGGGTTGAAGCTGATGAGTATGGAGTGTGTGGGAAGTTCAGTCCAGATAGAATGCTCACACATGTTCTTCGTCACTGCAAGAAACCTGCAACTGACTTAACCGTTCCTGTCTCTCCAAAATGCTGCGAGCCTCTCTCCCAAATTTCTGAGGCATGTTTCTATGCTATCATCAAATCCGACACTTGGAAGTATTCAGGCATCGACCCTCGAATCGCTTTCACCATTCCTAGACGTTGCCATTACCACCACCATTAATAATAAAGTACCTTAGCTTCACAGGTCATGAACTAGTCGCCAGGAGGGGCTAGCTAGCTATTATGAGTATAATAAGGAGTGACTGTATCGTTAAATAAGGGCTCGCTTATATATATATATATATAGAAGCTCGTGAGTTTGTTAAACATGTTTCATTCAAACTGCGAATAATGGTGGTGGATTCGTTGAGTTTGAATTGGTTTGTTTGTGTCTTAATTTCAAGTTTCATATATATGAATGAATGTCTCAGATGTCCTCCATGAACTTCCATAAATCAAGTTTGGAGCTTGCTATAGCACTGGACGATTATTTGCGCAAATCTACTACTAAATAGCACATACATAGGATATTCTATACAGTGGGTTCATTAATTGGTTCTAATTCCTTCGGTAAATTAATTGTTGTAGGTCTAATTAAAATAAGTCGATGGTTTTACCACTAAGTTAGAAAGCGCTACGCTGCTTGTTTCTTATTCCCCATCTTTTGACATAAATGGCCCAGTATTTGAAAATGATGAGTTGAGTTGTTGACTATATTAATATGGTGAGGTGGGGTGTCGATAAAGACCAAAGGTTGAAATTACATCTCTAGCTAGTTTTTTAAGGATGAATGTTGTCTTTTCATCTAGGTTATTAGGGACAGAATTGACATTTTATAAAGAATATTGCAGGTATGCTGTGAGCATTCATAAGCCTTGTAGAAATAGATAAATGTACAATTTTTTTTTATAACTTGTGCAACATTTATTTACTACTATTCCGTCTCCTATTATAAGATTCACTTTTTTTAAATAGATTTATTTCTTTTTATAAGATTCTTTTTGAGTTTGTCTGAGTATTTAATGCATTATTACCTATTTTGTCCTTAATTTAATACATTTAATATATTCTTTTTCTTCATTTATCTCACTATTAATTATACTCTCACATTGACTCATTTATATATAAGGGTATATTTGAAAAAAAAAATTACATTTGCTGCATATTAATTGTTGTTAGCTAACTTTAACTGTTTTCTTAAATCATGTAATTTAGTTAAAATGATATTATAATAAGAGACAGAGGGAGTATTAATAAGTCAAGCCAAACATGTCATCATTTTTTTTAAGTACAGGTATCTTTTTATTTGAGGCCAAAACACAAATACCTCCCCTCAACTTTAACTCTCTTGCATACAACCTCCCTCATCTTTGAAAGTCTGAAAATCACACTTTCAACTTTCATTGTTTAATATTTAACCTCTTGTTGTTAAAATAACTGTTAAACTTAACGAAACGGATGCCATATCATAGTATTTAAAATTATTTGAAAGATGACATGTAATTTTTATTATTTTATCAATTTCTCCTAACTTAAAACTTATAATTACGCTAAAGGATACTTTCTAATTAATAAAAACCCTAGTCCTATTCTCAACTAATCATCCAGTTCTCCCAGCCTCCCCCAATCAATGGTCCTCGTTTTGCAGCATTTCATTCATCTCCTACTCATCATCTTGATTCCAAAAATCATCTTCATCACATTCTTCCTTTAAATCTAGATTTTTTTTTGGTAAAATAGCATTGTTTTCTTTTATGATACCATTATGTTGTTACTCTTCCTGGTAAAGGTATTCTAATCAATATGATTTTTTATACCTCACCATCATGTTGTATTAAAACTGTAAAAACAAGGCAAATTTTCTTGTTATTTTGTAGAAAAATTACACCATTCAAGGCTCTCACTTGTCTATTAGAGTCTGTTGTCGGCAATCTAGATTCTTTTAGATGAGAAATCCACCACCCAATGCCTTCCCACAAAGCAAATATTAATATTTTTTAGAACCTCGATAGTTTTAGTTTTCTTCCCTATCCCGTAAGTTGCTTTTTGGTACCTAAGATTAATTCTTCCTCGTCTTCAAAATCAATGCTGGCGTGGAGGGAGAGCAAACATCGCCATGTCAAGGATTAATCAATTCTCATTTGGGTGTTCTTCCATATCCTACAATTTTAGAACCTTGCTTAAACTAGGATGTGGTGGGAAGGGGGTGGCCGAAAGAACAAAATGAAAAGGCAACTGGCAAGACTAAAATTAGGGATTATTATCGGTAGGGTTACAAAAACGCCCTTTGTGTCGTTATGAGTTTTCATTTAGAAAAAACTTGCTTAATCAATCATTAATATGAAATATACATTTTACATATAGTCGTATTATTCCAAATGATAAATAATGTAATTTATTTTTTGTATTATTAACATTTATTTCGATAATTTGATTGAGTTATGGCTTGCTAGCTAGGCTTATTAATTAGCTCGAACATCAATTTTCACTCATACTAAAATAGTTTAAGCTATTTTGGATGGATTCACCATTGATTCATACATGCAAAAATTCTCTTACTATTTTTTTCTTTTTTTTTTCCTTCTCAATAATGTGTTTAATATCATATTGTAAGTTTTTTGCATGCGCCCAAAATTTTTCCCTTCCCTAAGATCATCAGAAGTGATTTGTTTAAATAAATGCTGACTCATCATCTAAATTGAACCGAAGGAGTAGGTGATCATGGAATAAAATAAATAAATAAATAAACTCATATATATAGTTTTTATAATTAATAATAATAGCAGAAGAGGCAGAAGTTCACATTAATTAATTACAATTAATAAAAATCAAGCTTCTGGCAATATTTCCATGTGCTCATTCTGTAGGCAAGTCCTGAGTTTTTTTAAGAGAACCCACTGGCTTAACAACTACGTTCTCCATGGAAATCAATAAACGTGGATTCCAACTTTTAAAGCCAGAGGATTAAGACTTTAGGAAGAACAAGGTTTTGTTCATTTCCAAACCGCAACTACTGCCTATATATACACATATCTAGTTGAAGACATAGCAGAATTAAGCTGTGAAATACAATACACACACACACACATATAGCTTCCTTGTTCTTCAATTAATTAAGTTGCAGAAATCAAGTCAGAGGAAACAACTGAGGAGGAGAATGAAGAAGGTGATTTGCTTGGTGCTGGTTTTGGCACTAGTGGCCATTGCAGGGGTTGAAGCAGATGGGTATGGAGTGTGTGGAAAGTTCAGTCCAGATAGAATGCTCACACATGTTCTTCGTCACTGCAAGAAACCTGCAACTGATTTAACTGTTCCCGTCTCACCAAAGTGCTGCGAGCCTCTCTTCCAGATATCTGAGGAATGCTTCTATGCTATCATCAATTCCGACACCTGGAAGTATTCAGGCCTCGACCCCAGAATCGCCTTCACCATTCCCAGGCGTTGCCATTACCACCACCATTAGTAAGAAACTTTTATGAAGTAGTCACATACTTACGGATACCAGTTCTAATAAAGTGTACGTGACTGTATCCTTAATAAGAGCTCAATGTAGCGGCTCATAGTAAGTGTAATAAAATTGTGACTCCGTTTGTGTCTTTAATGAAGATCTCATTATAATATGAGTAGTTTATAATGGTTTGTTAATTACGTATACATGTTCAAATGCTTCCATGGAGTCGACTAAAGACCTGTTTCAAACAAAGTCCATCGCCGGCCATGAGAGTGATCCAGCCGCTAGCTTATAGTACAAATACAATAAAGTAACGTGATTAATTGTACTTGCTATGGTGTACAATATAAATCATTTTAACTAATTTATCAGAATTGAAAAATAGTAATTAATTCATTAAATCCTTCGCAAATTAATTTTTTTTAATTCTACTTTACTAAATGAGGCTGTGAAGAAGAGATCAAAGAAAATTAAAAACCACCATGCGGTATTGTATTTTTCAGGAGTGAAATAGACTAGAAGATAACTATTGGACATACTCCTGATCCTAAGTGCAAGTCATTTGTGGGGAAAAAATTTTAATTCTAAATACAAGTCATTTGTAATATATTTAATGCTTATTTTTTAATTTTATTTTTATTTAATTTTTATTGAAAAGAAAAAGAGAGAACTTTAATAAACATAAAATTAGAAAATTTTATTAATTTAATACATTATCTAGTATGCAAAAATCTGTTACAAATAATTTATATTAAACATCACGATAATGTTTGATGAACCAATATGAGGCTATTAGTTGGCAACAGCAGTTTCCTACGTAACCATTACTAAAACTTGCATCCAAGCCACCTCGTAATGGGTGCCCCAATTGATGTTTAGGTCCTGTTTGGATGTCCCTCCAAACTATGGTTTGGGGAAGAAACCAGCCAAACAGGGATAAAAAATGTGAAACCATGGTTTGGGGTCAAACTATGGTTTTGAACCCCAAAACCATAGTTTCGGTGGAAGTGGTTTGAAGTTGCTTCTGGCTCAAATTTTCCTGACGTTAGTGTGGACCCAACAACATATGACAAAGCAGCCCCCATAATTAATGCCTCACTCTTCATTCCACACTCGGTTCTTCACTATTTAATCTTATAATTTATAAATATATATATACATATTAATTATTTATTAGTTATATTATCTTATATATTATTAATCATGTTAGTAAAAATTATTTTATTAACAATTTTATTTCTTCGAATCAAAATATATTATAAAATCTATCCCTTATATAATTATCATATTAATTTATGTCCTTTTTAGTAATTTGTATATGTAAAAAGTGCTTCTGGTAACAACTATCCAAATACTCTCATTTCTTAGAATCACTTTTTCATAAAATATATTCTTTCTAGAATCTATTGTCCAGAAGCTATTTTCCAAACCATGATTGGGTGTTTGGCAACCTCCAAATCATGTTTTCAGAAACACTTTTCTGCAAAACGAGGTAAATTCCTCCACATATTTACTTTGTAAACCATAAAAACATTTCTGAAATCATGATTTGGTTTATATCCAAACATTCTTTTGGTTTCATTCAAACACCTTTTAGGCCTGGCTTTTCTCATTCTGCCCGGACGCCAGCCAGTGGCCACGGGTTTCGTATAAGCCGGATGGGCAAAATATTCTTGCTCCGGGTACGGCATAGGTTTATATAGGATTCAAACCCCGGAGGCTGTTTGGGGGCAGACATTGGTAAAATGTGAATGTGATCCGAATATCTATAATTATAAGCAGAGATAAACATCCATGTCGTCATGTTAAGATAAGATCAGTCTGACATCCTATATTTTTCATATTCGTACAGCTTCTAGAGTTTGACCCCTCACAGAGAAATAGTTTTTTTAAAAAAATTCGTTTGCATGGCGTCTTGACGAACGGCCCCCAAGTACAGAAATTTAAATAATTAAATTAATCCCACGTACCCAAGTGGCCACAGCTTTGACTGTCATTGGTGGTTGTGAACTTTGAATCCCAACTTGTCCTGAGATAAATTAGTGGACTGATTTTAATTTTAAATATAAAATTTTAATCTGTTTTATTTTTTATTATTAGTATATAATTAACTAATTTATAACTTGGTATTTTAGATAATCAAATTATATTGAGTTAAAGTACATTCATCATCTTAAATTATATTTTTGTGCATTTAGTACTCTAATGTATTTTTTGTGTAGCATCCTACATTGCTATGTGTAACATTGCACTAAAGAATATTTTAGGATGATAACTGCATGAAAAATATATTTCAAGGTATTAATGTACCTAAAAAAATATTTACGATACTGAATACACTTTAATCTAATTATATTTATTATAATTAAATAATTTATTTATCTTTTTAAATGTACCTAAATTCAAAGTTAATTAGGCATTAAGGAGCCAAGAAATAAAAAAGTTAGTTAGAAATGATGAATTTGTCCTGAACGCCGTGGAGGAAGTGACCTCCTTCGCGGACTAAGGATATCACGTGGACTCATCAAAAAAGAATTATATTTAAGTGTTCTGATATTTTATCAAATATTTATATTAAAATACACCGTAATGAATAATTGTGGTGCAACTTTTTGTGAATTTATTATTTTATTCAAAATCTGATGCTCCTCCGATCCTTAATATAGGATTCAATTCTTGAGTTGGTTTTGGTCTTAAATATAAGACCTATTTCTCATATTTATCATTTTTTTCTAAATTATCCCTATAAATATTCTCTCAACCATCATCAAATAAAAGAGAGAGACGGAGTATTAAGAAAGATGATTATGGTGTTTTAGGAAAAATGTGTTACTTTTCTTATAATTAACTAATTTACTTAATTTCTTTAATCTAATCAAATTAGTTAAATGAGTTTTATATTAAGAATCAGAAAAGTACTTCCTTTTTAACGCCGATTAGCTTGGTTTGGGTACTGCAGAAACTTACAGAGGGAGCGATCTTTTCAAGCTAGCAGCTCCATTCACAATTTCAGAATTCAAACTCGACGTTGTTTGGGGGATTGGCAGAACTGTGAATATGGTCCGAATATTTATTACTCCTTTATACCTTAATATAAAACTTATTTAACTAATTTGATTATATTTAAAAAGTTAGATAAGTTAGCTAATAATAAGAAATATAACATATTTTTCCTAAAACACTATAATCATCTTTCTTAATATCTTCCCTTCCTCATTTACTTAATTATGATTGATGGAGTATCTATAGAGGTAATTTAAAAAAAATTGATAAATATAAAAAATAAGTTTTATATTTAAGATCAAAATTAACTTAATAGTTAGGTCATATATTAAATAACGGAGGGGTATTATAAAATCAGTCTGACACCCTATATTTTTCATACTTATACAGCTTCTGGAGTTTGACCCCTCACAAAGAAATAATTTTTTAAAAAAATTCCGAAGCACAGAAATTTAAATAATTAAATTAATCCCACGGTCACAAGCGGCCAGAGCTTTGACTAGTTAAATATGTGATTGGTGGCTTGAACTTTGAATCCCAACTTGTACATGTAATCCTCTTATTCTAAAATAAATTAGTAGATTGATTTTAATTTTGAATATAAAATTTTAAATTTATTTTCTTTTTTATTTTTCGTTATATTTCTAATCTAATTTACTTAGTTTATAAATTAGTATATAATTAACTAATTTAGAACTTGGTATTTTAGATAATCAAATTATATTGAGTTAATGTGCATTCATCACCCTAAGTTATATTTTTTGTGTATTCAGCACTCTAATATATATTTTTGTGTAGCACCCTAAATTGCTAACCATAAAATCACACCAAAGAATATTTTAGGATGATGGATGCATGAAAAAATATTTCAGGATATTGAATGTACATGAAAAAATACATGCAGTGCTGGATGCACTTTAATCCAATTATATTAATTATAATTAACTAATTTATTCATCTTTTCAAACCTACCTAAATTCAAAGTTAATCAGGCATTAAGGAACGAAGAATTAAAAATTTAGTTAGAAATGATGAACTTGTCCTGAACATTGTGAAGGAGGTAATCTCCATTGTGGACTAAGGATATCAGGTGGACCCATCAAAAAAGAATTATATTGAAGTGTTGTGATATTTTTATCAAATATTTAAATTAAAATACACCCTAATGAATAATTGCGATACAACTTTTTGTGAATTTATTATTTTATTCAAAACCTAATAACAAAAAAAAAACCACGTCTAAATCTAAACAGGAATAAATACAATGAATAAAAAAGTTGACCAACCTAAGGGGTATTTGGATAACCCTATAAGCACTTCTCAAAAGTATTTTTCTTCAAATCGAGACAAACTCCTCCATATATTTACTTTGTATACCGTAAAAGTATTTTTAAAATCATGATTTTAATTTTATCCAAATAATTCCTTAATCTTAATCTGAGAGGAGTACAAAATATAAATAAGAAACAACATGACATGAAATATAAATGAAAAACGGAGAGGAGTATAAAATATAAATAAGAAACAACATTTTATGTTAGATCTGGAATTTCCTTCAAAACTCCTCGAGAAACTGAAGAGCCACACGACATTCCCAGGGGATCAAATCCTTTTGTGTTTTTTTTTTTTTTGTTTTGGTCCCAAATCAAATCTTTTTGTTGCTCCATAAGAAGTTTTGGTGTCTCTGCCAAATGTCAACACTGCGCTTCACGCAAAACAATCTTTAATGAATGCAACTCTATAGAGATTAGAGACACATTTATTTATAAAAGCTACCGAATATATTATATTCTTTTGGCTTGCACTGAGAAAACCCAGGCTAACGAGGCCGACAATTATTATTATATTAAACCACTAAAAAAAAACAAATAATATTGTGGAATTAAAAGTCACGCAATGTCGTTTGTAACAATGCCCATCTCATTCATCTGTCCGACTGTCCCTGGCTTCCCCAACTCTGAAAGTTACTCTGCATCCGCTGTGATACGAACGACACTTTTGCTTCGTCGTTAAGCCAAAACGACAACAATAACCATGTCCTGTCCGGCCCCGCCGGCCAACTATTCCCTTTCAAACCCACGAGACTTGAAATTCCAATAGCGGCATGAGATACCAAAATTACCCCCCATCTTATCTTCCTCGAATAACCGTCAACGCGTTTTTAAAATTTTCCCCTCTATTTATACAAATTTCTTATTCATTATTTTTTTTTGGGAATTAAGAACTTTAATTAAAAGTAACCATACTCAAATTTAATCAAATTATATTTCGGAGAAAAAAGAATTCATTAATGAACTTGTTTTAAAAAATAACTTCCATTAAATTAAGTTTAAGTTAACAGGGAGTTGGTGTTAAGAAAAAGACATTTTTAGACCACTTTACAATGGGACAAGGATTCACCTTAGAGGTTTTCTTTTAAAATTTGAAATCTTCAGAAGTGCAGATCCATTAAAAGAATCCGCCACGAGGAAGGTTACAATCTGTAATTAATCTGTAATTGAAAACTTAATCAAATTAATCCGTTAAATAAATTAAGAAAAGAGTACGACGCGCCGGAGAAGTTGAATGAGCGCGATATATATCTTGGTATGCTTTTCCTTGGCGCTGACAGGGGACCAGGGCCAATGTGCGCCTCATTTGATGAGAAGGAGACCTGAAGACTTGACTTCTTATTCTCGCTTAAAAACAACCTCCCCCCTCGATTTCTCTCCTTCTCACTTTTCTGCATTTCCCTTGGAAATTTTCACCCGGTATGCCAGATTCCGACTACTTACTTGCTGCCCTTTGTTCTTCATCATTACTGTCTCTGCTTCAATTATCTGTGCTTTTCGGCTTCTTCTTCTTTTTACTCCGTATTTCAGAATGATACATGATAATTCTGCCTCGATTCTTCCTAGTTTTGCTGTTTCTGAGCTCTTTACTGACTGTCGGTTGTCTCTCAGTGGTGTTCTTTCGTTATAGGCGTTCGATCTGAGTGTTGATGTCCTTTCTTTGATTTGCTTGACTTTGGATTCAACTCTCCTTTCTTTTCGAGGAAAATAGGATGTATAGATATATGTCTTCCGGCTAGTGAGGCGCAGTTAGATGCTAGCATTTCTTGCTAGAATAGTTGGTTTTCATATTTAATTTTAAGAGAATTCAGTAACCGGTTTACTTGCTGAAGATTTGGAATGGTTTTGGTTTCCTTCTATCTTTTCCGCATGTAAATTGGAACGACTAAAGCAAGTGCGAGATTTGAGGAAATAAGCACACATTGGAAGTCCGGTTTCCCGTAGCCGCCGTCCCCTTACAAAACGGTAATTTTCCTAATCAAAATCTTCACTCTGTAATGATTTAGCAGAATTGAAGAATATGGGGGAAAAAGGGGATAAAGTGGAAATAAATAGCAAGTAATTGATTGAAGAAGAAGAGCAATAGTAAACGCTTTCTATGTAAATACTTTCTCAGATGATGCTCGCAAATCTAACTTATGCTAAGGAAGCCTGTGGCGTGCTTCCTTCTGTATGGAATTTAATTATTATTGATGTCCTTGATATTAGATTTATTATATGTACTGGAATTCTCTCTCTTGAAAACATTTTCTTTCAACCTAGTGAACAATTAATGTAGCTCCTGGTTAGATTTTTGCCTTTTAACAAAGTTGCTTTATAGACCATCCAAATGGAGCATATAACCTTCTTGCTTTGCTGAATGTTGACAAACAAGGTGTTTGAGCGATTTCTTGCACATAAGTTACAATATCTAAAAAGCTGAGCTTTAACCATTTTATTGATCTGAATACAGGTCTAACATAATAACCTCATCTAAAATGATCTCCGAGTAATGCTGAAAATGGATATCTCGACTCAGAACAGGCTTACAATCCCTGGTTATACAGCAGGCTAGAAGGGGGGCAAAAAAAAAATCTCACTCTGCTACGGTGAAAATTTTCCTGAAGATTTTTCGTAGAGTCTGATAGGAGTTTACCTTTTACTTCAGACACCATCAGTTATTATTGGCTTCTGACTTCGTTTACTCAGCATGGAATAAAAAATTAGCCAAGGTTCTTGGTTGGTTTCATGCTAGTCCTGTGTCCTGTTCAAGTGCCAAATTGAGGTTCAGGGATATTGATTTGCTCATTTGATGTTCAAAATGAAGAAATGGTATGGTGGAGTTCTCATTGCCTCTTTTTTCACGTTGTTCATGCTACTGGTCCTTAGGTATGGATTTATGAAAAACCCTATTGGGGAAAGTTATCAGAATATAACTGTCCCTGTTAATGGTTCTAATCCTCTTGAATGGATAAATTCAGCATTTTCTCCAGTCATTCAAAATCCAGAGAGTGCTACTCAAGTGATTTCTGCTGATAATTTAGTATCTAGCCTCTTTTCTAACAGCAACTTCACCAGCGAAGAGCTACGAGCTCTCCAGACGTGGAACCAATTAAATCATTTGCTTGATTATACTAAGGGTTTACCTAATGCAGCAGAAGCTATCAAGGAAGCTGTGAGTGTATGGAATGGTCTTGTATCCTCCATTGAAAAAAAGAGAAAACGTGAAGCAAATGATGGTCTAAATGAGATAAGGAAAGAGAAACAATGTCCCCACTTTCTAAATAACATGAATTCCGTGGAACTCAATAATACTAGTTACAAATTGCGAGTTCCTTGTGGCCTGACACAGGGTTCTTCGGTCACTGTCATTGGCATTCCTAATGGTCTTCTTGGAAATTTCCGAATTGACTTTACTGGAGAATCACTTCCCGGGGAGCCTGATCCCCCTGTTATATTGCACTATAACGTCAGGCTTCACGGTGATAAAGTTACTGAAGATCCTGTTATCGTCCAAAACACCTGGACAGTAGCTCATGACTGGGGAGAAGAGGAGCGTTGTCCATCCCCTACTCCAGAGAAGATCACAAAAGGTGAAAGATATTACTCCAGTTTATCCAGGTGAAAGATATTTTTTAATTCCGTTCTTTTACTTTGTTCTTGACGTTGCTGTTTATTTGTCCAGTTGATGAGTTGGAGCAGTGCAATAGGATTGTAGGGAAGAACTTAAACCAATTCTCCATCCCTAAGGCTTCTAAGAGATTTTCAGCAACTGATGAACAATCAAAAAATAGAACATACTTTCCGTTTAAGCAGGGTTATCCATTTGTTGCAACTCTTAGAGTGGGCTCAGAGGGAGTCCAGATGACAGTTGATGGAAAGCACATAACATCATTCGCATTCCGTGAAGTACTTCCTCTCTTGCTTCTTTTTTGTTTTCACTTTGGATTTGGATTTTTTGGATTAAACATTTGTAGCTTTTGATTTGTTTACTGACTGAAGTAGTTATGATGCAGACTTTGGAGCCATGGCTTGTCAGTGAGATGAGAATTTCTGGAGACCTCAAGCTTGTTTCTGTTCTTGCCAGTGGTTTGCCCACATCGGAGGATTCAGAGCATATCATTGATCTAGAATCATTGAAGTCAAGACCTTTACCTGTGCAAAGCCCATTGGATCTCCTGATAGGTGTTTTCTCTACAGCTAATAATTTCAAGCGCAGGATGGCTGTTAGGAGAACCTGGATGCAATATGAAGCAGTGCGATCAACCAAAACTGCTGTACGCTTCTTTGTTGGTTTGGTGGGTGCTTCTTCTGATCAGTTTGCATGATTCTAAAAATTTGTTGAAGTGGGAATGCTGCTTCCATCAACAATGACCTGATTCTTCACTTGATTGTGTCGCTTGTAATTATTCTGTTTTTTAAATGTGTTACCATGTAGACTTTTGTGCTTATTAGCATGTTGCTGAATTATGTCTTCTGTTGGAGATGATGCAGCATAAAAACCAAATAGTTAATGAAGAACTTTGGAAAGAAGCAGAGACCTACGGTGACATACAACTAATGCCGTTTGTTGACTACTACAGCCTTATCACGTGGAAAACATTAGCAATTTGCATATATGGGGTAATGTCGCATCATCTACTTTTGCCTAGGAGATTGCTTCCTTTGTCTCATTGATCTTACCTCTATGACAGACAGAGGTTGTTTCAGCGAAGTTTGTCATGAAGACTGATGATGATGCATTTGTTCGTGTGGATGAAGTGCTAGCTTCATTAAACAGAATCAATGTGACTACTGGGTTGCTCTATGGACTCATCAATTCAGATTCTCATCCTCACCGTGATACAAATAGCAAATGGTACATCAGTTCCGAGGTATAGATCCTCTGATACTCATTTGATACCGAAGGTACCTGCACTCTGTGTTGTTTAATATAGGTTCTGAGCATAGCAGAATTCTAACTTAGCAACTTGTGGAAATGGACACAAACTTCTGTAAGCTTGTATCTGTAAGGCAAGATCTCTGGTATCAAACTGCAATATTGATACTGAAAGCTCTTATTTCTGTTGTTTTGTTCAGAACTGCTGGATTCTGGGCATCTAGTCTTTTGTTTTGTCCCTTTTCTCCCTTCTAAGAATACCTACCCGATTTTGCTGTTTTTTATCTGACTTCATCGTAATTTTGTTGTTTGCTTTGTCAAAGGAATGGCCTGAAGCATCTTATCCTCCATGGGCGCATGGTCCAGGCTATGTCGTCTCTCATGATATAGCGAGGACGGTGTACCCGAAGTACCGGGAGGGCCATTTGAAGGTATGTAAGATCTGTTACTTCTAGTTAGAGAGAAATTTTAGCATACACTATTTGTAAAACTAAGATAAAAACTTGCTCACTTTGATGAGTTATCACCAGCTCCCTGCATGGCCAATTGTTGCATTGTTTGCACTAACAGTTCTCTCACTTGATGTGAAAAGGACGTGTTTTGTACTCGATACGCCAATGTCTTTGTACCTAAACAATTTGAATGCTGTGGACAGATGTTCAAGCTAGAAGACGTGACGATGGGTATCTGGATATCACAGATGAAGAAGGAAGGTGCAGCGATCCGGTATGAGAATGAAGACAGGGTTAATAACGTGGGTTGCAAGGATGGTTATGTGGTTGCACATTATCAAGGTCCGAGGGAGATGCTGTGTCTGTGGCAGAAGCTTCAACAAGGAAAAGGTGCACAGTGTTGCGGTGATAGAAGAAGATGATTCCAACTTGACTTGATCAGACTACAACGGCGTTCAACATAAATAACCCACACTGAAGAACACTGAAATAGTTAGCCTGTTAAGCTGTCATTAGAATTCAGAAATAGTATTAGGGCATATTTCTAGTCAGAAATTCTTTGAAGATTCTAGTGTAAGATTAGATTCATTTGTCCCATGTAGATATAGAGTGAGAGAGATTCTTGTATAGAGCCTCACCTGGAAGGAGATAGGTTTTGTAAGATGAGTAAAACTACCACAATTTTCCGGTTAGATTCTCGACATTTGGAGTGATAAGCTTCAAGATTTTAGTACTTCCTTTCCCGACGTGAATCACAAGTATTCTTTTCTACTATAAACCTCTTTCTCCATGGCTCATTCTCTTCTATTATCATCTCATGGGGTGATGAAATTTGATTGAATTATGTTATATGCTATAAACGTTATGCTCCTTTTGTACCAAAAGAAGTAGAAGTTGTACGCCTTCCTTTAAACATCCGAATGCGTTGTAACAAAATTACCATTAAATAGAGATTGATTATTGATTAATTATTAATATAACGTGGAAACATTAATATTTTTAACAAAACGACGCTATGATTTTCTTCTTCATATGAATATGATATAAAATTGTGATATTTTGATTATAGCGTTAGTATAATAATGAAGATTAATTGATTGATTTTATTGACAATAAATAAACGATAGCAAAAAGGGATGGGGGTATTTTAGTTATTTTGGGGTTCGGATAAGAATAGAGAATCAACAATCAAGTATGGATACTGCAACAAATAACTGACATTCTTTTTTTTTTTGTTTTTTGGGAGCTGAAACAAATAACTAACATTCATCAATCTAAAACTGCAACAACAGTTTCTTGTGGCCATAACTGCAAACCTAACCTACATTTTTTTTTCTCTGCAAAGGAAAAAATACATCTATTACACCAAACACTTGCATCTTGGGAAGCCAAAACAACGCAGAATGGTATGAAATCTAAGACGTCATGCAGCCAACACCATACCTAGTAGTCGGAAACACCAAGAACAAACTGCTGCAGACAACTCCAACCATGAGAGGAAAGCTCTCCATAACCTGTTCCATGTCCCTAACGTGTCCTGGGAACACACAATCCGAAACCCTGTGATCCGACAGTGCAATCGCCAAAAAACCATTACAGACATAATCGCATGTACGAAGTCGGTGAACCCAAGTTTGAATCTCTCATCTTTCGGAACCTCCACTCCCAAACCCTGCCTGAACACGGCCAACCCTCTCGGGGTCACAAGTCCGTAGTAGACCTTCCCATCAGAGCCCCTGAAACTGTCAGTGAAGTGGAAGAAGAAGCAGGAGAGACAACAGAGTCCGAGGAGTACGAGGATCATGAGGGTGGTCACCGGAGTGGAGCAGTTGCCGTTTCGAGAAACCGACGGGAGAAGCATCTCGAAGGTTAGGAGGGTGCCGGTTGGGAGGAAGTTGACGAGCATTGAGGTTTTGGATATGGTTTTCTGCATTCCCTTGGCCATTGCTTGTCTCTTGCGTCCTCTCTGGGGAGAAGAAGAAAGGGAGGGGCCCGCGACGACGTCGTCTCTTGGAGGAGTGGTGGTGGTGTAGATTTTTATGCCCACATCTTGTTCCTGCGGTTTGCCCATTGTTGTTGTTGTTGAATGAGGAAAGAAGAGGGGAAAGAGAGTGTCTGGTTTGATATTTGAGAGTGAAAGCGGAAGGAAGATGGGCTTTAAAGGGGAAGTGTGTTGAATAACTGACTCTCAAGTCTCAACCATTCCTTAGCTAAACGGTCATTAACTAACTCCCCAAGGGCTCCTTCTTGAAATGTTGGATTTAAGGCCTCTTGTCCAAGCAATCCTAACCGTCGATAAAATCTAACGGACCAAATTAAAAAAAGGGTACGTATTCATGAATTAACCATATTTCAAGAAGGAAAATATTAGAATCAAACCTGGACTTTGATTTTTTTATTGATTTATTGATTCATATTAATTAAAAAAAAAAGTAGGATGCTTTTTTTAATTTAACAAAAGCATACTTTATTCAAGTAAAAAGATATATAAAAAACATTCGGTTTTAACAAAATCATAGAACCATTCTCACTTCTTCCTCTGTACTTGTTGTGGATCTTTATAAGCTGCATTGTGCATGTTTGCATCTAATTTATATATCCTAGCTCTCATCACAAACAAAGCTTTACAATAATTAAAAAAATTAAAGGAAAATCATATGATTATAGTACTATCTCCTATTCTAATTATAACACCTTGTTTATAGATCTCATAATTATAAGACATCAAGATGAATTGATGATGGTCTCCTCTCTATAGAATTAATACATTGAGTTTGTTTTTGGCGATGGCCCTTTATTATAGGATATTGCCATTTTCCGTACCATGTTTGTTAGTATAACTATATAAGATATTTTATCATATAAAAAGGAACTCTTTTGAATTTTTCTTTGAGAATTTGGTAAGAAATCTTTGTTTGAAATTTTATTAGCTAAAAAGATTTAAATTTGAGTCTGTATAATTATAATTTGTAACTGTAACTTTTTTCCTGTTACATACAACATATTTTTTGTTACATGCAAATGACTTCAGTATTGATGATTGTTACATATCATTGATGATATGTTGCACGTAATGGGAGAAAATTTGTACTTATAGATCATTGTTACACTAGTTCAAATTTAGATCCTTTTAGCTAATTAAATTTTTAAATAAGGACTTTTAACCTTTTTTTTTTTTTGCCCAACAACTCCTTTGATTAAACTATGCTATGCTTAAAATTATAAATATATAGAACAGTTTTCATTCAAATTATTTATATATTAATTTTAAAGAAACATTCTTCTTTTAAATTGAGTATAATTAGTATTTTTATTTTTAATTTGTATATGTATTTATGGTCAATTATCACATCAACAATATATATAATTAGAGACTATTTAGCAAACGAATTAAACTCATCTTGGAAATGGCTTTTCGACCATGTATTATCTAACATATCATTGAAATTTTTTTTTTTGCCACATTAACAAATCATTGATATTCTTCTATTTAGGACACTCACATCCCTATACCAAATCAGTGAATAAAATCATCATAAAAGTATTTTTATAATTTTTTCAGATGACTAGAAAACAAAATTGTCAGTCACGTGTCACTCGACGATTCTTAATATAAGACTCATTTAATTAATTTGATTATATTAAAAAAGTTATGTAAGTTAGTTAATTATAAGAAATGTGACATATTTTTCCTAAAATACCATAATCATTTTTCTTAATACCCCTCTTTCTCTTCTGCTTGATTATAATTGAGGGAGTATCCATAGAGGTAATTTAGAAAAAATTGATAAATATGAGAAATGGATCTTATATTTAGGATCAAAACCAATTCAACAATTAAGTTTATATTAAGACAGGAGGAGTATTTGCTTTTTTTTATTTACTGATTTTAAAATATGGGATAATTAATATGTAAGTCATTATAGTTTCAATTGATTTTTAATCAGGTCCCTATAATTTTTTTTATCAGGTCCTTATACTTTCACATGTTTTTAATTAGGTCTTTATAATTTTTTTTTCTTTTTATCAGATCCTTATTATTTTACTTTATTTTTAATTAGGTCCTTGTAGTTTTTTTTTCATTATTCTATAAATAATGATATTCTAAAAATAATAAATTATTATAAAAATCTTATGTTAATATTCTTTTAATTTTTTAGTTAAACAAATATATTATTTATTTTTCAATTCTAATTTTTATAATTATAAAATTCAAATTATAATAATAAAATCTTCTAAAATTAGAATATAATAATAAATAATTTATAATAAGTATAATTAATTATTCTGATTAATTATTAATTACTAAAGATTATATTAATTATTTTTTCCAATTATATAATATTAGTTTAAAATAAAATTAATTTTACAGAATAAAGTTAATAAACAATTTTTTAAAAACAACAAAGGACTTAATTAAAAAATAAGTGAAACTATAACAACCTGATAAAAAAAAATAGAGACCTAAGTAAAAACATATGAAAGTAAAAACCATGATAAAAAGAAAATTTTTATAAGTACTTAGTTAAAAATCAGATAAACTATAAGGACTTAAAAATTAATTATCCCTTAAAATATTTAAAAATCTTCAGTAGCTGAATAAACCACCTGTCAAATGCCCATAGGTTTGCGAAATAAAATTTTATAATTAAATTATAAATAAAGTCTCATTATAATTAGGTTGTTATAATCAGATGGGGTAATGTACAAGTAATTAAATCGAAAGAGGGAACTGGAAAGAAGGACCTGGAAGAAGGATAAACATCAGGAAATTATCTCTTGACAATTCCGACACATGCACTGTTGAGCTTCTTCCAGATCCTTCCACAGTCTTCAGTGAGCGCTCACCATCTGTGTGTTTCACATATATCCCTCTTCCTTCTTCTTCCCCATTAATCCTCCATAGTTTCTTCGTCACTGTGCAATTCATAATCGGTTGTTTACTACCTTCTTTTTCTCTCTTCTAGTCTTTCCTGAGGAAAAAGACGATTTTTTCATTCTCATCAATGGCTACGGAACCTAATGTTTCTGAGAATTCGTCCCCCTCTGAAAACTCGTTCAGATTCAGAGAGCTTTCTGTTTTCTTACCCTTCATCTTAGGCTTCTCCACTGACTCTTCCGGACAACACAGTCAAGACCCAGATCAGGAAACCACAGACTCGGAAAATAGTAATAACCATGGCGAAAGAGTCATCTTGATCAACCCTTTTACGCAAGGCATGGTGGTGATCGACAGTACTTCGAGCCTCGAGACTCTGTTCCACGAAATTGGTATGAAAAATGGGCAACCGCCGGCGTCGAAGGAATCAATAGACGCATTGCCAAGTGTGGAAATCAAAGAAGGAGAAGGCGGCGAGTGTGTAATTTGCTTGGAGGATTGGGAGGTTGGTGGGGTGGCGAAAGAGATGCCTTGTAAGCACAAGTATCATCAGAATTGTATAGAGAAGTGGTTGGGAATTCATGGGTCTTGCCCTGTTTGTAGATACCAGATGCCTGTGGGTGAGAAAGAAGTGGGCAAGAGAGATGAAGAAGAACAAGAAGCAGGAGGCGGAGAGAGAAGGAGGGTTGGCAGAGAAATTTGGGTGAGCTTCTCCTTTAGAAGTGATAATACGAACCAAGCTCCTTCTGATAATTCCAGTGATCCTTCATCAAGTCCAAGAGGTGATTCTGCTGTTGAGAATTAGGGAAGAGATTTTTTTCCTTCTTTTGTTCCACTTGGGCATAGAATCTGTATAGCCACATTTACAAGCTATTGTTGGTCAGATCTTCTGGAAATAAATAAATTAATGGCATTTTCTGTCCTCCCAATTATTGTTCAATGCTGGTTGCTAGGGTTTGAGCCAAAAAGTTTTTTTTTTTTTCCTTTGACTTGGTGTTATTTCTAATAACTGTAATTATCCAAATAAAATCAATCAAAACCCTTCTCCGTGCTTGCACACAAACGAAGCAGCTTGTGCTGCTAAAGGAAACTAACATTTGAGTTCTTTTTACGAGGGTCTGAGGAGAAGAGGACCTCCAAATTTGCAAGGAAGAACAATCATAAGTACTATCAAAATTCAGAAGCTTATGATCCTAATGGAACTTTTGGTTGGATGAGTTGCATGGTTTGTGAGGAGAGGAACGAGATAACTCTCACCCTGAACTATATATACTTGGGTCGGTGACCCCATTTGCTAAAAGTTTCACGGCACCATATGTTTTGAGTGCCATGATTTTACCAATGATTTTTTCTTGATGTTGTCTTCTGCTGAAGTTTTATTATAGGCATATGTAAATTATGTGAACTAAGCCACCCTCAGCTAAAACCTTCATGATTTTATCAAGTATCTACCCAGCCGTTAGTACTTGGCGTATTAGCATACAGGAAAATAGCCAGTATGTGTACTATGCCTATCATGGCGGTATACAAGATTAAATTTCTTTCTTTCATTATATAAAATACATATCTTATAAACATAATATCTCTTCGGGGAGGTTTTTCTGGAGCATGTGTTATACAATAACAGGAACTCATCTGGTTTCATGATTCCTGAGAGCCATAACTGAATCATTTAACATTGATTCAAATCAATAACCTTAGAATTTGAATCAATATCACTCTGGTATTGCCTGTTCAAGTCAAGCAGTTCTGACAATCCAATTTTTCTCTCCTTGTTAGCACACGTTTCCCCATCATAATTGGCTCCTCCACTTCTCTTTCTCCCACTAGATTCATCACTTGCATCCCCATTTAATGCTTCATCCGCTGAACGAATGGCGATTAATGGGAGTTCAACTGAAGAAGTACTATTGGATTTTTGAAGGTCTCTTGTTTCATCCTTAGGCCGCTTCTTGTCTTCCTTTATTCTGGAGCTCTCAGAAGATGTCAGAGAACTTTCCAGTGAACACATAATCCCTCTGCTTTGCTTCCTCTTCCCATCTTTAGAACTCAGCCCTCTTGTTTCTGTCAGTTCTGAGATCGGAGAACTTGGACAAGCATTGTTGATCACGGACACTAGTCGAGAAAGCTCAGCTTTTGCAAGTTGTGTATTAGAAGTGGAAGAAGAACTATAAGCAACAAGTGTTTCCTGCGCTTTCTTGAGCACCGATTGTAAATACTTCCCTTGGGCTTCAATTCGAAGCTGCAAATGCCTCTGCACCTGAAAGTTTCAATCTTTGATTATTGACATGTACTTCTGCTTCAGCAAGAGTACAAATAAATACAAGTTCCGATCATATGTGCTGCTACCTCAAGTTGTTCATAAAGTTTCCCCTGTACTTCCATTTGCATTTGAAGAGCCTGTGCTATCTGCAAGCTTTTGATGAACACAGAATTTGATCAATGAATGTTCTAGGCAATATCAGTTTCCTCCAAGTCATTAAAAAGATAAGAAACAACAGTCAAATATGATCAGTTTCTGGTTATTACTCAGTCATCTGATTATGGGTCCCAACGCAGATTTCTCTTTTGCAATGACTGACACTGCTCTGGATTTCTCGGTGGTCTGCAACAAATAGAGCATTTGAGAATAGGCACTCTATACCATTTGAGAGAATCATCAATCATGCTGTTGTTACTTTTAAACTAGAAGTATTGCAATAGATAACCTTCGTGTTTATTGTCAGAGCAGATATCTAGTTGCTGGTTTTTTCCAAGCCTGAATTTCTGTAACCAGAAACAGAAAGCAGATAAAGATTTAGCTCTTGATTTGCAGATCCATCAAAAAGAGCAAATAATGATACAATACAATCATTGCACAAAAAAGGGAAATGCCTGTAAGTGGCTCTTCAGGTGGTACAAAGTAAGCCCTGGAATGCCCATCACTCTCAAAAGACTCTTGGGTGTTGCCTCTGCTCACATATAGTATTGAACTCTAAAGTTTAGTGTCAAAAGAAAAAATAAAAGTAAACAAAAACAAGCTTGAACATATATATGTATAGACTATACTCACTATTTGCCCCTCCAAGATGATTAATAGCGTCAAGAAATCGTTGGTGAAGCTCAGGAGTCCATTTCAGCCTAGGCTTTGCATCAGTGGACAGAACCAAATGCATACTTCGATTTTGCGAGTTTTGCAGATCCATTTGCTTTTAGTTTCTGATCCTTTTACGTATGAGTCAGTTTATGGAGGCCATACTTCTTTTTATAGACTAGAGATGTTGGAATGTTCTACTCTCTCTCTCTCTCTCTGTGTGTGTGCCCCCCATATCAGGAAACATAAGTGGGGTTTTGTTGAGGGAATATATGCCATTATCTATTATGGCTATTCTTTCGTCTCTCTTATCCCATTTCATTATAAAACTTTCTCTTTTTTAAAATTTTTCTCCCTCCCCTACTCTTTCTTCTTTGACTTGAAAGAAGTGGGATAGAATTAGAATCTCTCTGACGCAACAAAAACAAAGAAAGATAGCACAATTCAATTTCGAGTCTTAAAAGAAGAGAAAAATGAAAAAGGTAAAGTATGTAGTTTGTTTTTATCTTGCTGTTTTCTCTTTGATTCCCTTCTGAAACCGGTAGGCCCACCACAATGAATACCCGAGGCAACTTTCTTAATTCTATGAGAAGCTTTCTAGGAAAGAAAAGAAGAAAAAAATTGTAACTTGATGGCCATGCTCCTGTGGAATTTTTAATTTTCTCTCTTTCACTTTGATTTTTTCTTTAACAGAAGGTTTTATTTGTGTGATGCGATTGGCAGATTCTTCTTGTTCCACGTAGAGACGAAGGAATCAAAGAATCTAGGATGGGATTTTTGGACCCAGAGCCTTCCATATTTTTCTTGGAAGAAAGTAATCAAAGTATGCCATTTAAAAAAAGAAAAAAAAAGGAACCGATCAGCCATGTCTTATAAAATACAAAGCCTCTTATCAAAATAGCAATAATTATGCGTTCTTGTTTGTTTAACACATTTAACACTGACCAAACAAACACATCATGACTTCTAAGACAATCCAAACATCAAGATTCTCACCCTAACCTTATCAAACACTGATCATGTACCAAGTATGTATGTCACGTATGATTCAAAAGATGTTACTGTATAAAGGAAAGATTTTTTTTATGACAACTGTAAATTTGTTGTGAGCTCTCTTTTATCTGCTGTGTGTGTGTGTGTGTAAAATGAAAGCATTTGAAAGGGCTAATGCAAAACAAAGGTTTCTCATAAAGGAATTATTCCAAAGGAAATGTTTTTGGCTTTGATGCTGTGATGTGTATTCTAGCAGAAGAGAAAAGAAAATTTTCACCCCTAGAAATTTTTAAAAGGAAAAAAAAAAAGCAGAGAAGAAAAGGAAAAGGGTGGCTAATAATGGCCAACAACAAATCTTACATCTAATTCGGTTAAATCACACTTTGAGATTTCTTGGGTTTTGGTTCTCCCAGAGTTTGATCACTAGAATCAAAACTTGATCATTGGCCATCTCTCACCAGTCACCTCCACAACCCCATCATGAATTTCCCAAACTTATCTGCTAAAAATAAGTGCACTGCTGCATAATTTCCCGCTACTGATCAGAACTGGAGAAAGATATGATACAAATACGACAACATGTGTGTTTGTGTGTGCTTTTTATATGGTTGGACTAGGGGGGGTCCGTGAGTAACAGAAAGAAGAGGTTGTTCCACGGAAAAGCATATGCTGATAATGTACTGAAGAATGGCATGCTTTGTTTCATGTGTGAAGCAAGGAATATTATTATTGTTGGAGAGAGAAAGAGAGATACAGAAAGAGTAGAGAGAGGTTATATGAATCAAAAGTCACTTAAGCAAAGTTGGGTTGTCATCAATTATGATTCTTTTGATGGAGATCTCAAAAATCCAAAAGCAGGGAAAAGACGCAAAGAGAGGAGAAGAAGGATGTGGCCTAAGGAATCACAAAAAGAACTTGTCGACATCCAACACCACAGCTATGAAATTGATTGAGATTAAAGGTCGATCAAATTACTTTGTCAAACATGGTTGCTTACACACAGTGACGTGGGCAATATGTCACCAACTTATAAGAATAGGAGTATTAATTAAGTCTGATTGATGAAAAGTGATCATATTTAATCTCAACATGGTAAAGATATATGATATCTCAAGTTCTGTAATGACTTGACCCAAGTGACCGCACAAGACTGATTCATGCAAGTGCCAATCCACTATCAAATAATTGGCTAAAAACAAATATCTATATTTTTATATAATTACCATGGATTTAATTGGGTCATTTTTTCTCCCTCTGTTTTTAAGAGCTGAAAATGGCACTTTTTTTGTCATCCTCCACTCAATAGGAGAAACTCACACACCTTGTAAATATATGCTCAAAAGGTGCTTAATGTTAGTTAAGTCAAATGGCCTTGTAGCTTAAAAGGAGTACTTGGAATAGTTTTTTAGAAGTGATTTTACAAAATTCAAGATAAATACATAAGAAGAGTTTTCCGTTACCTTACATGAAAGCATTTTTAAAAAAATAATTGTGAAGATTCCCAAGCAGCCATGAAAACGTATTTGATGTGTGTGGATATTGTAATTTCTCAAAATTTTTAACAGTCTGTTCTATGGAATTTGAGATTCTTTGGGCCAATGATTGAAGAAGTTTGCGACAAAAGTAGATAAAATCAAACTCTTCTGTGCTTTCTATTTGGGAGTATGAATTAAGTATCTTTATGATACGTGTCCAGACGTTTGAAAAAGTAAGACGCTTTAGTTTTAGAAATTTGGATTCTGCTTGTCAAGAATCAATTCAAGCTATCTTATCAATTAAGGAATGTGATGCACATTTAATAATGGGCTGTGGCCCATTATCAAACTCCACAGATTGCGCTGGCCTGGCCCAATTTTGAGTTTGAGATGCCGCTCCAACTTAAATACTCCCTCTGATACGTAGGAATTTTAAATAACTAATTTGTAAAAAATGAGAAAATCAATTAAATTACTTCTTTATATAAATATGTGTTGATTTTATTAAAGAATACCCATTTCAATTGTTCATATTTGAGACTACTCCCTTAATTGAAAAAATCCTTTTAATATGTATGATTAATGGGAGAGTTTGAAAAAATTATAAATTTGGAAAGACAAAATGCATAATTCCAGAATTATAAGAACCAGACGAATATTCTATAGTATTTCTAGTTCTTAATATAAGAGTTTGTTTGATATTCAAATTGATCTTAAATATAAAACCTCAATCCACTTTGTCTTCAATATTTATTCATTTTGCCCTTAAGTAATCTTTATAGTCGTTGCATATGTTAAGAAATTACTAACAATTTGTAATTCAAGCACACATGATTAATAAGAGTATTTTAGGAAAAACAACATCTATTTACTATAAATGACTAACTTAACTAACTTCCTTAATCTCTTCAAATTAGTCAATTAGGTCTTATATTAAAGACCAATGCTAGTTTAAAGACCGGATGTATGTAGTACTATCTCTGATCCTTAATATAAGAGTTAGTTTGGCTTTCAATTTAGTCCTAAATATAAGACCCCAATTCACTTTGTCTCTCATATTTATCTATTTTTTTCTAAGGTAATTTTTATGGTTATAGTAGTTTTAGCTTATACATTTGATTAGTAAGGGTATTTTTAAAAAGAAAACGCATATTTATTACAAATAACTAACTTAACAAATTTTCTTAATCTACTCAAATTAGTTAACTAACTCTTATATTAAAAGCGAATGTAGTATTAGAAGAAGAAGCTAGCATTCATTTTCTATTGATAGATAGGGACCATTTAAAAAAAAAGTAAAAAATCATTCTTATACTCAGAATATTGCAACATGGCGCGGATGGGATGGAAAAGCTGTGAGCAACACCTCACACGCACGTAGTGATATCTTCCAAATATTACTGCCTGTTTCTTTCTCTTTTCTTTTTTCCGCCACATGACTGGCTGGTTCGTTTACATCATATACAATTAAAATATTACCACACACAATTAAAATTATAAAGATCTTATTAAATGTAATTAGGATTTTTTCCCATGCCATATGCGAAAGTATGCAGAGTCTACTAAAGTATGTCAAGAAAAATTAAGTAAAACATGGCTGCACGAAATATGAGAAAAGCATTCCTATTTTTGAATAATAATATAATTTTACAAGTAAAGTTATTTTTTTTGGAATGAAAAACTGAAGACATTACAAGTTAATATTTTAAATTAATGATTTGAAAGTTTAACCTTTATTGACACCCTTTTTACCAAACACTCCTTACTCTAAATGTCTTAATTCTCTGACATTTTAAGCCTTTGATAGAGATATATATCTCCTACCTAATTTTTTTTTTTGTGCATGCTTGTGATGTATTCACACACACACAGAGTGATGAATAAAATAATAAATGCTGGTAGATAAAATATCCTTATTAGTTTATTATCATCTTGATTACGCAGGAGAAGGGAATATTATTATTGAAAGTGTGAAACCACTCCACTAGTGAAGCTCACTTCATAATGGGAAGGCATTACAAAAGAGATAAGGAGATAATGATGCAATTAAAAATAAAAAATGCCAAACTGATGAAAGACTTCATTTTTATTTGTCACTTCAAAATTTTTTCTAATCGCAATTTGCAAGCTATTAACTTTTCCTACTTCATAGTATTATTATATTATAATCAGAAACATAATACATGGATCAGTTCATGCACTTACACGTTTACTAATTAATTAACTAATTAATTATGACGTTAAACAAAGTCAAATTAAAAGAGGAAGAGAAAAAAAGCATATTATTAAAGTGTAATTCTACTGGGGATTAACCATGCCCTATCTTAAAAGCTCTACATGATTGCTGCTTTAGAAAAGTTTGGCCAGCTTGCTCTTCTAAGTGGTGGGATTCTTTTTGAAGTGGCCAATCACACTTGGGATTTTAGTTCTAGGCCTCATCGTCAGTTCTTGTCTCTCTTTATTTTTTTTTTGGAGATTTAATTATATTGGTGTGTCACAGATTCAGAATTTTCACTTTAATGGCGGACATATATAGTGAGGCCATTATTAATAATTTCCCAAGTTTCAAGTCAATACACAGTTTTAACTTTTTACGCATCAAAGTTTTCTGTTAAGAGTCAAACCAAAGTGATTGCTAATAATACTAATACTAAACATCTGGTTGGACGACGTACGCTAGTTGTAGCAGTAAGCTTTTACCCTCCACCAGTAAGAAAAATTCTAGGTTTCTTTCTGCAAATGAAGCCCATCGATCAATAATGTAAAACCCTAGAAGAAGATGGTATCTAGGGTTTTTTCTGCAAGCGCATAGAAAACGGGTTATTTAAATGTAGCTAGGACCACGTAACATTTTAGAACAAGATCAAAAATACCATAATCTTGATGGACGAGTTCGGTTGATATAACCATAAAAAATCCAATACTGTCAATCCAAAGTTATCAGTCAAATCTCTCAGCTTACAATTTAAAGTATCAAGTCCCTTCTACACAATCAACTTAATAGTACTCCTTTCAAGTATAACAGCTACATAATTAACTTTCAGAGATTAAGAATATTAGTTAAATTAGTTATTTTGTATATGTATTGGTTTCTTTAAAGAATCTTTTTTACTCATTTTCATCGGAAACTGTTCCTTAATTTGGGAGAAAAAACTCTCTTGAAATCATAAATTTGGAAGACTAAATAAATTATAAAGT